ATTTATCCATCAGAGCAGAATATCTTCCGGGCATGGACAACCTAGTCGCAGATTGGGGCGCTATGTGCGCCGAAAGGTCCACCGGGGGACTATGGTCCCCCTCCGAACAAGCACTGCACATCAATTGCCTAGAATTGATTGCAGGATCTTTTGCGATTCGCAGTTTCGCAAAAGATTGTTTCAATTGTTCACTAGTACTGTGCATGGACAATGTCTCTGCAGTGCGTTATGTGAATCGGTTAGGAGGATCCCGATCCAAATTACTGTCCGACCTTACCAAGGAACTCTACCAATTCTGCCTAGAGCGGAATTTATCCATCAGAGCAGAATATCTTCCGGGCATGGACAAACTAGTCGCAGATTGGTTCTCTCATCATTGGAGGGACCTAAGCGACTGGCAATTGGATCCCCGCTTGTTCTATCAAATTCACTGTCTTCGCGGGCCCCTCACACTGGACCTGATCGCGTCTCGGCTGAATCACCAGACGAAGGCCTTTTTCAGCTGGCTCCCAGATCCCCAGTCCTGGACAGTCAATGTCTCCCTACACCCTTGGCCGGAGACAGGAGCTTATGCGTTCCCGCCTTTCTCCATGATCCATCGCACCCTTTACCGGGTCAAAGCCCTAGTAGTGACGATAGTTATTGTCACTCAGCTATGGAGAGCCCAGACTTGGTTTCCAACCCTGCTAAAACTGTCTGTGAATTGTTCAATTCTACTACCTCGATCCCCCGACATCCTCAAGAATTCAGCAGGGCGCTGTCACCCACTCGCCCTTCAAGGACAGCTCTAGCTTGTAGCTTGGACCGTTTCAGGGGATCCTGGAATGTCTCTGGACTTTCGGAGACAGCTCAGACCCTCCTATGGGACTCCTGGGCCCCAGGCACTAGACGAGCTTACCTCGCTGCATGGCGGACATGGGTCAGCTGGTGTTTGGAAAGGGATACCGATCCCTTTTCAGCATCTCTGGCGATCATCCTAAATTTTCTATCTACTCTCTTTGATCAAGACAAGTCCTATAGATCAATTAATGTTTTTAGATCTGCTATTTCTGTGGCCCACAACCCTATTGACAATGCATCAATAGGAAAAACCCCTTCAGTTTGTAGACTTTTACGAGGGATCAGGCTAGCCAGACCCCCTCTTCCAAGATATTCCAATTTCTGGGATGTCACTCAGGTTTTTCCCTTTTAGACTCCTGGCCCTCTAATGAGAATTTGACGTTACGTCAACTCTCTACCAAACTGGCCTTACTCCTATGTCTGGTATCCTTCCGTAGGGTCTCCGATATTCGAGCATTTGATTTCCACGCTGTAGTTTTTTCGCTTGAGGGCGTTAAATTTCACATCACCAGGCGAACGAAGACTAATTCGTCCTCTGTATTCTACCCTTACGTTCCGAATAGACAGTCGCTTTTCGTGGCCCTCTGTGTAAGGCACTATATAGATGCCACAACCACTCTGCGTTCCCCTACAGGACCCCTTCTCGTTTCCTATGTCAGACCACACAAACCGGTGTCCGCTCCCACCGTCGCGCGGTGGATCAGATGGATACTAGCCCAAGCAGGTATTGACTCCTCTTTTGGAACGCATTCAATCAGAGGAGCAGCCGCATCCTCAACCTTTCGTGCGGGTAGTTCCCTCTCAGACATTGACATCTGCAGATTGGACCAGGGAATCCACCTTTCATACATTCTATTTCAAACCTATGCCACATGCTGCATCTTCTATCATATAAGAGCGTTAAAACAGCAAATATGAAGCCTTCTGTCTTGCCATAAAATTAGGGATTATTCTAGCCCTAGTGACTGAATAATCTAAATTTTATTAACGACAGGAGGCGAATATTTTCCCTCCCTTCTTTGTTTTTCATTATCATTTATACCCGCCCTAAGGTAAGTTCCTAAAAGAAAATTTCTAGTTGATCTGTTTCAAACACATTCACACATCATCTGTCATAGGTTTACACCACAACACTCTAACCAAGAGTTAGACATACTCAACATCATTTTACATGAAATCTATTGAAATTGCTGTCCCTAGTATGCATGCCATAAACTTGCATTCAACTAGTAGGAGAACCTATACTCTCATGTTTTTTTTCTCTACTTCCCTTTAGTGTGAAGAATCCCAACGCTTGTGATATATGGATTCATCAATCCCATTGAAAGTTTACATGTCTGACTACATCAGGACCTTGGATTGGTCACAGTTCATAGTTATGGTTTACATGGTTGATACTCGGATATCGTCGGCTACAGCAAGAAAGAGGACTTGGGAGGAGTTTGATGACATCATATAATACTGTTATACACTCTGGTTGAATTGTTTTTACACTATTGTTAACTATTTCTTTGCTGCTGGGAGGTTCAGTAAAGAAAGATAAGCAAATATTCGCCTCCTGTCGTTAATAAAATTTAGATTATTCAGTCACTAGGGCTAGAATAATCCCTAATTGTGTGTTTAAAATGTGATCTATGTAGACTTCTTTTTGAAAAGTGTTTTTTTTTCTGGATATTTATTGAGTATTTTCCCTTCTTTCACTATATTGTATGATCTGAACTCTGTCTCTTATTTCCTATTTTCACTCCCTATTGACCTCTTCCTTTGTTATTTCAATCATGCATTGTTCATTGTTCCCTTCATTATACTGGGTATTTAGAGAAATAGGGAAGATAGTTCCTGTCGACCCAATTTATTGTACGCTATCACTCAATGCACATTTAATAATGTGAAAAGAATTACCCTGTTGGTTATTAGGGAGTCCAGGGAACCCCTCATTATTTAACCTCTTAGTGACTAGACAGTTTTTCAATTTTCTTACCTTTAAGGACCAGGGCTCTTTTTATATTTCTGTGGTGTTTGTGTTTAGCTATAATTTTCCTCTTACTCATTCACTGTACCCACACATATTACATACCATTTTTCTTGCCATGAAATGGTCTTTCTAAAGATACCATTATTTTCATCATATCATATAAATTACTAAAAAAAAATTACAAAATATGATGAACAAAATGTTAAAAAACACACTTTTTTTTCCTTTGACCCCCAAGATCTGTTACGCATCTACAACCGCCAAAAAACACAAATGCTAAATAGTTTCAAAATGTTGTCCTGAGTTTAGAAATGCCCAATGTTAACATGTTCTTAGCTTTTTTTGTAAAGTTATAGGGCAATAAGTACAAGTAGTACTTTGCTATTTCCAAACTCTTTTTTTCAAAATTAATGCAAGTTACATTGTAACACTGATATCTGTCAGGAATCCCTGAATAACCCTTCACATGTATATATTTTTTTTAAATCAAACAACCTTAGGTATTAAACTTGGGGTATTTTGACTCTTTTCATGCAACCATTTTACCACCAATCTATGCCAAATGTAAAAAAAAGGAATATTGTTTTGACACACATAGCAATTTAAGAATACATGTGCAGAGAACCTTAAGGGTTACTGCCAAAGAACACCCCAATATGTGTTCAGCAACATCTCCTGAGTACAGTGATATCCCCCATGTATAGGTGTGTCGGGTTCTCTGGGGGCCTAAAAGACCATATTTGGAGGGTGCGCATTCCAGTTTTCGAACTTGGAATTTTTTCACCTGGTCGTCATGCACCCATGTCTTATTTGGGACATTTTTTAAGCCGGCCAATGTAATTTACCCCCATCAAACCATATATTTTTTTAAAATAGACCCCAACTGTATTTCAAATGGTGGTATTTTAACACTTACCATGCACTAATTCTACCACCAGTCTTTGTCTAACTTTTGGGTAGTAATTTTTTTGTTTTATTTTTCTCTCACATATGTATTTTAGGCATGGAGTCTCAGTTCCTGTTACGTGTTATTAACAAAGAACACCCCCATATGTGTTCAGCAACATCTCCTGAGTACAACAGTGCCCCCAATGTACAGGTTTTATGGGTTTTTGCATGATGATGCCTTTGAGACCTTATAGCAGCCCAGGAATGAAAATTAACCCCATCATGGCATATCATTTCTAAAAGTAGACAACCCACGGTATTCAAAATGGGTTATGTCCAGTCTTTTGTAGTAGCCACTTAGCCACAAACGCTTGCCAAGCTCTCTGCAGTACAAGGCTTGTACTGCAGAGAGCCCCAGATGGAATTTTTTTTCCCCAAGTAAGTGGGTTAATCTCGTAAGAGTAGATGTTAGGCTGTTAGTGTAGGACCTGCCAAAGATGGGGTAGATGATATGATGGGTATGATCATATAATGTAACCAAACCCCCATTATTTTTGCCTAGATTAGGTGTTTTTTAAAAAACAAATAAAATCTTTCAACATTGAAGTTGCTGTTTAGTGGATAGGTGAGTGCGCTGGATCTTGTGTATTGTATAATTTGGCCCCCAGCAGCACCCCCATTTATGCATGTTCAGGTGAGTGCAGCCGACCCTCCCCCCCGTTTCATATATATATATATATATATTTTTATTTATTTTTTTAAATATTTTGGTTTTTTGGTTTGTACCATCTACACATCATAATAGATTTTTTTTTGTTCAAAGAATTTCATAAAGAGCAATAGTATGTATTTTCACACTCCAGGGATCACTTTTATAGATTGAGTATCCTTGGAGACAGCATAGGTGATGTTACTGAAAGCATCTCCATTCAGCACTTTGCATATTCCTCTGAGCCAGCGAGTCTCTCTGCTGGTACAAAACATCAATAAAGTACCTTTTCTATCAAAAAAGCCATTATCCTTCAGCATTCCGTGACAGCAATGTATGTGGCTTGGAGTTAAAGGGATAGACATCATTATAGTTTTGAGTGGAATTGTTTTAAGTTGTTATTATCTTTGTAATTGCAAAGTTTTAAGGGGTTTTACGGGGCAATCAAAGAGTACTCAAAAAAGATGTTCCGCCCAAGAATGATACAAAATTTAAAGGTACATTGTTTTTATTATTATCTTTCAAGATATTTTATAGTATAATCAATTCATCAGTAAGTCTTGGCCTCTGAAATGATACAGTTCAGCTCCAAAGACTTGTTAAAAAAAAAAAAAAAAATACAAAGAAACCGATTATAGGCATGGCTGATACTCCAAAGACATAAAGAGAACGAAACAGTGATAATTAGAATATTGGCCACACAGATATTTCTTTTCAACTTCATATTGGACAATGGGAAAAACAAAAACAAAATATTTACCATCACATTACCAAATTTACCAGTGTATATGTGAATTTCAGATAGTCATAGTACCACTGCAATGACCTTCCAACATGAAGGCAATCCTCAACACAAACTGAATCTAAAAAGATTTCAGCATTCTAACACGCCAGATTTGTAGTGATCACATGTCCAACTATGACCATGTGTCCAGGTGTGTCGTGATCACATTTTGTCTTTAGGAAGGAATAATATTAAAGAAGGATTATTTCATGACTGTGTTAATATCAGTGCTACGTAGAATGGTACACTCCTTCCGTAGAACAAATTAATATTTGCACACATACTCCTTTTAAAGAAGGGTATATTGTATTTGATTTTGGGCTTTTTCTCAAAAAATGTTTGCTGTATTAAAAATTGTTATTTATTATCATTTTCTTTTTCTTTTTTTTTTTTGCATATTGACTTCACAGTGAGTGCAGTACTCTTTTGAAAACAAGTGTTTGCTGAAAAATAGCATACTATTTACATACAATTTTGGAGAATTATTTTCCTCCTTGTTACATACGCAGTGACAATTTATATATTCAGCTCTGCTGATTTCACTCTTTACGTAGGTATTGATTTTCAGACACGTCTTATACATTCGCTCAACATGAAAAAGGCATACAGTACAAAAAATAGATATATATTCACTGGGTACATTCACATATTAACAATGAAAGACAGAACTGTCACTAAATGGAAATTGCCAAAGGCTCAAACTAGAAATGACATTTCAGAAAGGATGTCCTCTCATTCACTTCAGTCCTAAAGGAAGTCTTTCGGTTGACTGCAGATGGAGAAAATTGCTTTTTACACATAGACGATTCTTTCATTCTCACCCACATTGAATCTGTTTTACCAAATGAAATTGCATCCCGTCCATTTATTCAACACGCCGCCTCTCTATCATTTATTTTCATTGTCTCTGTGTACAGAGTTTTTTATTTATTTATTTGGTGTCTTCATTACTGTACCAAATGTCCCTTCATTTCAAGTGTTACAGATTAATTTTAGATCTCTTTGTCCCATTGCACTTTATAGATCAGGGCCTGTCACCGTTTGTGTTTCAAAATTATCACACAAAACAGACATCAGGTAGGTTAGTTGAGACAGTGTCCTTGGCATAGTAATGATTATTTTATTCTTATAACTGAGGTTTCTCTTCCTTCGTCAAGTGAGAACAAATTCTTCACTTAGTGTTTATTTGTCGTCTCTATAGCAACCCCCCATTCTTGTCTCATTTCAGGTCATTGTTAATTATCATATCATCGTGCACATCACAGCATGATGTCATTTTCCTCTTTTTTCCAAAGGTGGAAAAACTATTTTTTTCTTCGTGGTCCATGAACAGCCCCTGCTTGTTGGATGATAATGTTGGGGTCCCTGGAATGTAAACATTATGTTGATAGTCTAGTGCCGCCATGTGCTGCTGGTAGGGTAATCCATACTTCGGGCTCCACACCCCGTTTGATTTCTTGTTTGGATTTTTTATATCTAGAGAGAAATAAGCATAACATTACAATTAAAAATGCGTAATGCACATCTACTATAGCATCATCTACTCTAGTGAACTTATGGACACACCATCAATTTATTACCTTATACGCATAATAATCAATCTAAATAAATAAATACAAATATAAATTTTACGGATCTAGACTGCCATCACGTATATTTTAGAAATCATGTATGTGTAGGAATATGTATGAGTTAATATATGCAGACTTGTCATATACCCCCAAAGCACAGTATATATTACACCAGGATCAATATAAAGTGATTTATTGCATTAATACTTTGTCATGATAGAATTCCTGGAAAACGAATATTAATACTGTAAAGGTTCTGGAAGCTACAGTTCTCGTAGGCACAATTCAGAATCAGATATACCTGTCCTAGAGGCTTTAGGCATGACAACTGGATCTCTGTACCTTCCCCTTTCAGCTATACATTATAAATCAGAAGAATTCAAACCATTTCAAATACAGCCCTAAACCTTTAAATGTTACCTACAATTGTGGTGTCCCATTGTATTTCAATCTTTCTAATCATGCATAGAGGGGAAAGCCACGATTTCGAGGCTACTAAAACAAACATATGCGTCTTTCTGTCTATCCTTTTGTTAGTCTTTCCAGCCAGACGCACCTCCGTCAGACAGAGCAGGTCCTGTTTCTATGCTATATGTAAATTAGGGTGTGCTGTGATTACAAGACATCGAAAACATTACAATTAAAATTATATTCCCTCTGACTTTTGTAAATGTAAATAACCAATTTATAGCTAATAACCAACAACTCTCATTAGACTCAGCCAGACTAGACTGCTGCAGGCTACTGGTAACTTGTAGCACTAATGGGGACTGAGCTCTTAACATCACTTTCTGTTTTAGGCTTTCAATTGACTATGGCATTGATACACTAAATGTGGCAATAGTTTTGTTAGTTTCTATTGAAAACAATTGACCTTGTCACAAACTGAACATTTATTGTGTATGAAAAGACCTTTTATAGATGCACTGATCACTCGATGCACTGTTGTAATTGGCAATAAATGTGTGCATCAATCCCATTCTTTCTGCTATTTATACGTTATTCAGTTTCTCTTACCGTTTTTTTATGTCTCTATGTTTCTAACTATGCATCTCTAGGGGATTTATTCACTAAACAACTAGCTCTGATTAGTTTTGAGTCAGATTACAAAATTTTGCCCACCCCCCAAAAAAAAACTTAAAATCATCAATTAATGATTGTTTTTCTCTTGTGTCTTTTATCCTAAATGTTACACATTGGCTATTAATTCATCGTGACATGCTGTTTAATGTATAGACTGTCTTCTGTGTCTGATGTAGATCTACTTGTTATCCTCTCAATCCATATCTCTTTGTGTCTCTCTCACTATACAGAACACTTCGTTCTGTCTCCCCTTCAAATGGGAGAGAGTTCAAGGCCTAATGAATTCCTTTTAAGTTTAAACCAGAGCGTGTCAAAATTCCAATGGCCATTTTTTTACAGTTGTAGAAACTTTGCCGTGGTCCTTTTTTACATGCAGGATTCATACCCTTGGTGCATTAAATGTTGCATTGCATTCACACACAAAAAAGGCAACACTGAAAGCCATAGCTGCACATATGTTCCACAAAATTAAATTACTCTTCCCATATCCCGAAATCAAGACATGACTATATCACAATGGACAGTCAGACATCAGTAATAAAAAGGTTAATTAATGGCATACTTGGCCAGACCATTTACATAAACACACACACAAACACGCACACACATATATACATATACACACTAACATACATACATACACAAAACACTAAATCAATTGCCAAAAGTTTCTAATTATAATAAATTCTTGGATTTTAAGAAGTGTCACCCTCAATCTGTTCTACAGGAATTAAAACAATTTCTCGGATGGAAGGTTGTCTGCAAGACTTAGTGAGGGAATTGAAAATTTACATGTGTTAGTTAAGTAATTATGAGGCAATTATTACAAGATATGATTAGCAATAGAGAAGGCCCAGTGTTAATACAATCATTAATTATCCTCAGGAATGTAATAAGTAATATGTTTACTCTGAGGCTGATTTCATTTTCTAAGGAAGCTGATCTAAATTAAGAAAGGCTAGCTAAATTAAGATTGTTTACATTAGGAAAGTGGTATCTGAGAAGGAATATGATTATTAATTGCAAGTAAGTATAAGCCCAACGTGACAGAAACCTAATAAAGAACACATTGATATAGGACAAGGGGCCATGTGTTAAACTTTAGTTTCAAGAACTAAAGTTTGAACAAAGCAAAGGGAAATAGACTGACCATAGATATGATCATTACAGATTCAAAATATTTCCAGTTAGGGTTGCCACCTTTCTTGGAAAAGAAATACCGGCCATGCTAATTTTTCAGAATTATATTTGCATAGCATTACAGAGCGTGACATAAGAGACAAAAAATAATTTATAAGAGGAAAATTCTCTAAATCATTCACAAAAAAAATACGTACAATGTGTGTACTATGACTTTAGATGTACCATTTTGTGTGTTGCAGTGTGTATACTGTTTCTAAGTGTGTATGGTGGTGTGTGTCAGTGTGAATGCGGTGTGTGCTTGTGGCAGTGTATCTAAATGCATACTGTGTCTGATCAGACGGCCTCAAATACCGACTGTTCAGGTTAAATTTCAGCCAGGTCGCAACCTTAACAGCGTGTTATAATAAATAAATGTATTTATAATACTGGAGTGCTATGATGTGTATTTGGAATACAGCCCACCCTTTATCTTTAAAATAAAGAAATGACTTACTGCTAAACTAGTGGCAAAAGGATCTCCTAAACACAACTGTGCTATGTGCCTAGGAAATAACCACTAGTTGTGAACTCCTGGCCAACTTGCAATGCAAAAAATATAAGGGCTTGACCCTTGAGAAAGATATCAGTGGATGTTGAAACATTGGAGTTGGATCTTAGACACACATGCTTCAGCTTGAAAGTGGGCTGGTGTTATGCTATTGTGAATAAATATACTAAGCCTTTGTCACTATTGTTGTTCAATTCTTTATTATACTATTTTGAAAAATTAAAAAGGTGAGATTTCATGTCATTTGTTAGAAGTGGTAAGAATATGTTCATATTATTAACACAATGCAAATATACATATTCTCCAATAGACCCGTATTGCACCCCTATGCTCCAGTGCTGGTTTTCACACAGCAGAGAAATAAAATCTCTGCCAAGGCTCAATTTTCTCTTTCTACATTCCTTCAGAGGGATTCCAGGTGCATTATAAGTAACATGGAGGTAGGAGGAAGTAGGGGGGGGGGGGCTTTGAAAAAAATAAGCACTCTACAGGAATTATTTGCAGGCTCCAATTGCATGATACTGGTTATTGATTGCTGGTTGGTACTTCGTAAACGCCTCTCAAGCAGCAGTTCCAAACTTGTGGTACGCATACCTCTGGGAGTACAATCCAGTTCCCCCAGGGGTATGCACACAAAATTCCACAATGGCGGTCCACAGGTTGAAAGGGCCCATTGGGTGTCCCATGCACTTAGGGAAGGAGCAAGAGGATAGGGTAGACATGCAGTGCAAGCTCCCAACAGCCCCAGACAACAGAAGCCACCCTGCAGCATCCTGCTGCATCCAAAAGGTAAGAAAATGGAGGATGGCTAAGATGTTGACCTGTATGTGTGTCTTTGTAGAAGTATGTTGTAGTGTTTGTATCTGTTTTGTCTGTGCATGTGTCAGTGTGTGTATCATTGTTTGTATCTGTGTGTCTGTGTATCTCCTTGTGTGGCAGTGTGTGTATCTGTATGTCTGTGTATCTGCATGTGTGTATGTGTCAGTGTGTGTGTCTCTGTGTATCTGCATGTGTGCAAGTGTGTGTATTTGTGTATCTAGATTTGTGTCAATGTTTGCTTTTGTGTGTATGTGTATTTCCATGTGTGTCAGTATTTGTATGTGTGTGTGTCTGTGTACCTGCATGTGTGTCAATGTATCTGCATGTGTGGCACTGTTTGACTAATCAAGATACACAGACACACAGAAGCAAACACTGACACACATGCAGTTGCAGAGACGCAGATACAAACACTTACAGACATGCAGATACACAGGCACACATAAGCAAACACTGACACATATCTAGATAAACAGATACAAACACTGACACACATGCAGATTTATACACTGACATACATACAGATAAACAGACACACATGCAGATACACAGACACACAGATACAAACACTGCCACACATGCAGTTGCAGAGACGCAGATACAAACACTTACAGACATGCAGATACACAGGCACACATAAGCAAACACTGACACATATCTAGATAAACAGATACAAACACTGACACACATGTAGATTTACAGACACGCAGAAGCAAACACTAACAGACAAAAAATACATAGGTACACAAATACAAACACTGACACACATGTAGATACACATGCACACACACTGACACACATGCATATACACAGACACAAAGATGCAAACACATCTAGATATACAGATACAAACATTGACATTATACAGATACACAGGCACATATAAACAGTGTTGGTATCTGTATGTTATCAGTGTTTGTATCTGTGTATTGGCATGTGTGTGTGTGTGTGTGTGTGTGTGTGTGTGTATGCATGTGTGTATCTGCACTGTATATACTAATATGCCTGGGACAGAGGAGAAGCAGGGGGAGAGGAGTAGCTGGGAGCATCGTGTAGAGTAGAATCATGGAGAGCCTGGGGCAAAAAGAATCAGTGAGAGTCTGGGCACAGGAGAAGCAGGGGAGCTTAGTGCGGAGATAAAGGGAGATATAGGGTATTGGAAAATGTTATAAATTTTAAATAACAGCAACTATACTAATTACAAACATTTTGCAACTATGAAGGGTACAATTATGGAAATAGGCTGCCATGGGTTACACAAATGAAAAAAAGAGATTGTTCATTTATGTTTTGCATCTATATTTATTATACATACTAACCATAAAAAGAGGGGAAATGGCCACTACAATAAGAGTGAGTATGACAATAGTAGTAGATTAAGTAGACTCTCAAATAACCACTACTCATGCCTTCATGATCAGTTCTGTGTGATCTTTTTTTTTTTTTTAAGTTGATATTATGAGTTCCCAAAGAGGAGTTAAACTCAAATAAGATTACCCAATAAATCATGTGTTGAACAGGGTGCAATATATATAATTAAAAAGAAGATCAGCACTCTGTAATAAGAAACACTATATAAAACACCTTTGTGGGATTTCATAAAAAGAAAAATCATAAAATCATTTCACATTCCTTAAATAGTTAAGTTATCCAAAAGAACAGATTAAAATGCTTATAAAATATGTATTGTGTATCTTGCTATTATATTTTTGATGTATGCAGTTGCAATATTCTAACATATTTTTAAATGCCAAGAGAAGAAAGGTTTAAGTAAAAAGTGTTTTGTTTTTCAACAAACAATAGGTATGAATACTTTAACGATATTTTTGTTATTCACTTTGTTATTCAATAAGTAATTGAATTGTGGTGAATTGAAAACTAAATAGCACAATGCAGACTAAGTTAGCTAACCCATGTTTATTGCTGCATTGGATAAATTATTTACCAAATCAGCTATTATGGCCTATATTTTGAAAATCAGTTCACAGCTCACCACAATGCGCTGTTTTGTGAATAAACTATTGCAATTTTTAGGGTAATAGCCTTGTGATCCATTCAATACCTTACAATCACATCACTACAAACATATTATAAATGATAGATACTCTGAAGATCCTTCCTCTTCCCTGATGATTAATGCAGTCCCATAAAGGGAGAAGTTCTGTGCCAGGAGCTGCCTAGACTATCAATGAAATGGGCATGTTATGGGGTGGCCCTGCAGACTCTGTATTTACTATACCTACCAATTAACCTCCTTTGATATGAAGGATTTTAGAGGTTACTACCAGGCTTCTGAGGCAGTGTTTTTAATTCTCATAATAATCAAAGTACTGCTTCTTCCAGCTGGAAAAAAATAATGATACCAAAAGATGCTATGTATTTTACAATAGGTAATTAAGCTACGCATGTTATATAGACATGATTTACCTTTTAGTGTTACCATAATAAAATATAGATGGCCTTTATAACCCTCCAGTAACAAGTGTAGCCAGAAGCAAATTGCTTCTGAGTTTGCTAAAGGCTGTTCTGGCAGTGCGGAGTTTAACCAATGAAGTGTAAATCATATTCCTATGAGCACTATAATGATAATTCGAAGTCACCTTTCTTTCAAGCAGAAATATTGCATTATGACATGTCAAATAAGCAAAACTGCAATTGAAAATCAGATGTATGTTTTTTATCACAAAACATTAAGTATATTCACTGTGCAGAAAGGAATATACATTTATATACATAGATATATATATATACTGACCCGTTACAGGGGAAACTAGAGTACGTAGTCTGTCATGATCTTTTTTAACTCCTTTTCGAGTTCCTAGGTCTTCGAGACTCTGAGAACTAGAAGTTAAGAAGATGAAAATATATATATTTGCTTTCTGTTCACAGCTTAGCATTTAAAATGTTTAATACCAGCGGCATGGCAAGGGCCATGCACACTTCTATCAACTATAGTGGGTTATTTATAAAAGAATTGTAGTGAAACGAAAATTCAGGCTAAAATACTGTAACTATAGTGGAGTCAGATAATTTTCCCAAATCAGCTTTTTTGGCTTATATTTTACAATTCATGCTGTAATTCAATAACATTTTCTCTTTAGAGAATTTACTCCTCAACATTAAAATGAATTCTTCCATAAGAGAAATGTCACGTGATAATTTCACATAAATAGCCATGATATGCACATGATGAATTATGCTGCTGAACACAGCAAAGGAACATCAAGAGAGGTCTGTGTAAACATATAGACACATGCAGGGTTATTTACTAAAGGGAGATTTCAGATTTCAATGTGAATTTCAAATTGTACGTAAATATAGCCAAAACTGAAAGTCAGTTTGGCAGAAAATATAGGAATAATGTTTTATTCCTATTAAAAAGTTGTTGAAAAAGAAAAGGATTAGAAAGGATATGGGTAGAGATGCAGAGAAAGAGAGAAAAGAATAGAAGGACATAGGAAACACAAATCAGAGGAAACCGAAAGAAGATATAAATTATTATTATTATTATTATTATTATTTATATAGCGCCAGCTTATTCCGCAGCACTTTACAATAAAAGGGAAATTTACCAAATGAGACAATAACAAAATGAAATGTAACATGAACAATATGTAGTTGGGGACTCTGCTCAAACGAGCGTACAATCTAGAGGAGGTGAGATATAAAAACACAATAGGAAAAGTATTGAGGGAGACAGCAAATAGACATGGTGGGAAAGTAGCAGAACTGGAGGTGAGAGTGGAGTGTGGCCCTTTAGGAGAGAGCAAGAAGAAGGTTTGAGAGATAGAACTTACTTTTGGAGACCATAAGCAATATTGAAAAGATGGGTTCTGAGGGACTTCTTAAAGGATATAAGACTAGGGGAGAGTCTGACAGGGGTAGGCAGTCTGTTCCAAAGGAAAGGAGCCGCCCATGAGACATCTTGCAGGCGTGAATTTGCAGTAAGGGTGCAAGCAGCAGACAGGAGAAGGACACCAGTAGAGCGGAGAGACCGAGAGGGGGCATACTTATGCTATGAATCAGTGAAGAAATGTAAGAGGGGCTAGAGTTGGTTAGGGCTTTATGGGTAAGGGTTAGTATTTTAAATTGACATTGTTTGAAAAAGAGATACTTAAGGAGCGTTGGGAGAGGTAGGAGGAGAATCATGAGAGGGCTGTGTCACAGAGACCAAGAGATTGAAGAGTTAGGAGAAGAAGGCCATGATCAACAGTGTCAAAGGCAGCAGAGAGGTCAAGAAGAATTAATATGGAGTAGGGGCCTTTAGATTTAGCTGCGATTAGGTCATTTGTAACTTTAATAAGAGCAGTTTCAGTAGAGTGGAAGTGGCGAAAGCCAGATTGAAGAGGATCGAGGAGGTAGTTGGAATTTAGGAAGTGAGTCATACAAGTAAAGAGAAGTCTTTCTAGACGTTTTGAGGAAAAAGGAATGGGAAGACCAGAAGGGCAGAGAGACCAATACGTAAACAGGCCAATGTAGAACAAAAATGGAAATCACATTAACTAGAATATTTCACTTCTGATATCGGTAATCATCAAACTGTTTATATACATGCCATGGTCCATTTCTCTGCTCTTTTTGTTATAAATGATCATTGCTATGCACTATGGCAAACTCATTTTGTAGATGGGAAAAATGGATGAAACAGAAAAAGGGAACTAGGTCAAGGCAGGAAAAGACTGTAAGGATAAAGTAAAAGAGATTGGGGTTCAGTATAGATACAAAAAGATAAGTCCTGAGCTCACTCCCATCACTCCTGGGTGGCAGCAACGACCACAGTACACATCAGCCACATTAGAGATATCTTTGCCAGAAGCTCAAGGAAGCAAGGTGAAAGGTCAGTGTAGGACCCGTCTAGGGGGGTCTGCCTTGACGTTGGCAGGCGGGCATTCCTTCCAATGGCCATTGGAGTAACTAAATGACCTCCATTCGTTTAAATATACATAGGGATTCAGGAGAGAGCGCAGGTAAGTTTTTCTTTGGTTTTTACTATATGTATGGTTGCTGATGTGTATTGTGATCATTGCTGCCGCTCAGGAGTGATGGGAGTGAGCGCAGGACTTATCTTTTTGTATTTGTATTCACTTTTTGTATCACACATCTTTGTTACAATGCTGTCGCCCATCCCATGTGTTCCCTATTAAGGGTTAATAAGTATATAGGAGTATATATAAAAATACCCCTCTCTGTCTCATTAGAGATATCTTTGCCAGAAGCTCAAGGAAGCAAGGTGAAAGGTCAGTGTAGGACCCGCCTAGGGGGGTCTGCCTTGATGTTGGCAGGCGGGCATTCCTTCCAATGGCCTTTGGAGTAACTAAATGACCTCTATTTGTTTAAATATACATAGGGATGCAGGAGAGAGCGCAGGTAACTTTTTCTTTAGTCACAAAACAGAGATGAGAAGTAACCACTGTAGGGATGGGGAAGTGAGTCTCTATAAGAGAAGGATGAAAAAGAAAATGTAAGACAAAGAGGGTAAAAACTAACAGGCTTACAGATTTAAGGGCTAACCCATAGCTCTCTCAACTTAACACCTACATTGAAAGACGGTTGGGCTAATACACTTCTGCAATTGCCAATTACCAGGGGAGGAGCTGAGCTGCAGACACCAAAAGAGCATTGATTTTTATAAAACCACTTATAAATGTTGTGACACAAAGCAGGAAGATGGAATCTAGAGAATCTTTATCACACTACAATATGTTGTAATGGTTATGTTGTTTATAGAGTATTTTACTATCTAAATATGCTAGACATATATAGGGTATGAAAATGCCACAAAGTTACATATGTTATGACCTGTTTTTAAAACTGAACATTGTAGTGTATACAATCTATATAATACACTGATCAGACACAACATTAAAATCAGCCCAATATCACTCCTCCTGCAGCCAAAACTGCTCCGATACATCAAAGCATGGACTCCACAAAACCTCTGAATATTTCCTGTGCTATCTGGCACTAATGCATTAGCAGCAGATCTGTTAAGTCAATGCAAGTTGCGAGGTTAGGCTCCCATGGATCGAATTTGTCGTTCCAGCACATCCCACAAATACTCAATTGGATTGAGATCTGTGGAATTTGGAGGCCAAGGAAACACCTTGAACTTTTCTCATTTTCCTCAAACCATTCCTGAACATTTTTTGCAGTGTGGCAGGGTGCATTATCCCCAGGTAAACAACACACACATTGGCCTTCAACCTGATCTAAAAGAAAATGTGATTCATCAGACCAGGTAACCTTCTAACATTGCTCCATGTTCTGGATCTGATGCTCACATCCCAATTTAATTATTTCAGCAATTTCAGCTACAGTAGCTCTTCTGTGTGATCGGACCAGACGGGATAGCCTTCTCTCCCCATGTGTATTGATGAGCCTTGCTTGCACCACTTTTGGTAAGTACTAACCACTACATACCAGGAACACCCCACAAGACTTGCTGTTTTGAAGATGCTCTGACCCGGTCATCTAGCCATCACCTGCTGCCTAATATTTCCAACCTCATGACATTAATATTAAAACTCTGTCATACTATTCCAATGAGTTTGTCTTTAGCCATTCATTCCCTCTCCCAATCCCTCTTCCATTCCCTCTCTAAAAAAAACTTCTAAGGAAATCAACACTTAACACTATACTAGAATGTGAATGCTGATGGTTTATAATGTTAGTATTCAATGCAAAGTGCATTTTAACTAAGGAAAAATAAATATCTCAAACAAAGCTCTTGAAAAATAATATGAGTGCTAATTGTAGAATACTTGTAGTGATATACATCAGAACAGTGCAACTGTGTACATCAGAATGCATGGTAGCAATAGATTGCTAATTGATATAAACATAATTATACCTTGCTTATTCATCGGGTATATTTTTATACGATTAACATGATCATAATGGGGTGTGACTTGATGACAGTAATTACACTGAAAATCCCAGTGAATCGTTTTGATGAGCTGCCAATCAAGAATCTTATGCAAACTGCCATATCTCTTTTACACAAAGTACTCACTGTGATATCAAAGCAAATTAATAGATTTAGTCACCAAAAGGTGAACTGTAATATACTGACTATTTATTTCCAGGGTTTGGGTTAAAACATCCAAGTCAAAAATATTGATAGAGTCTAATTCCCATGTTAATTTTCTCCAGTTTGTTCTTAGTAAATAAATTGCAAGGTATAAAAGTGGATTATTAGTAACTGTAATATATGTACTAGTCCTATTGATAATTTTAATATGGAGTCTTAGGAAGCATTTTAACTCTGAATTACTTGCATTCTTGCTTTAATTTGATACAAACTGTGGTTTTACTTGCATCTATGATATAACAATAGGTATAGAGTATCCAATTTTAAACATTGCACTTTTTACATGTCTATATGGGGAGAAATTGATGTTTGATGGATAGATAGTCAGCTTTTTGCGTCAGATGTTCCAATCAGTGACATGGCAAACTCTTCTTTTAACGCCAGCACCAGCTTTGGTATTTGCAATCACACTTTGTCCTTTACTTTACAGGTATTCAAACTAAAACATTCCAAATCAATTCATAAAGATGTAGCCATTTAACAACTCGTGGTCAGGCAATATGTAACTGGAGGAAATGAAAGGGTTACTCCAACCATCATGACCTTCTGCGGTAAGTTTTACAAGCAGTCATGGTAGCCGGAGTCAGTATGTGCTGTGTTTCAGCATGAAACACTGGACCTACTGAGATATTGGCACTCATGTTTCAGGGGCTAATTACACCCCTGACACACATGACTTTGGCAGCCCGGAACTATGTTCCAGAGGGCCAAATGTCAATTCTGTGCATATTTTACATCCATCATCAGTGCACACTATTCACTGGCAACACACATTGAGCTTCTCCTCTCCCTTTCTTCTTTCTTGTCTGTAGACCTCCTAACCTCCAATCTGCTCAGTTTTCTTGTTTTTAATTGTCCCACCTCCCTCTCTGGCTCCCCACTTGCTCTCCGCATGCTAGCACAAAGCGTGTGCATGCGCTCTGAGCTGGTTAAATGATCCAATGAAATGCTTCTCTATGAGAAGCCTTTGAGTGGAGCACATGCAGCTACCGTGACGCCAGGAGTGGGCAAGGAAAGCAACCCAGGGGCTTCGTCTGGCACTGGATTTCAGTTAAATAATAAAAAAACTTAAAGTTTAGGTGGGGGTCTGAAAACTAATGCTCATTTAGGCATTATTTATTAAAATATATATATACAGGGAGTGCAGCATTATTAGGCAAGTTGTATTTTTGAGGATTAATTTTATTATTGAACAACAACCATGTTCTCAATGAACCCAAAAAACTCATTAATATCAAAGCTGAATATTTTTGGAAGTAGTTTTTAGTTTGTTTTTAGTTATAGCTATGTTAGGGGGATATCTGTGTGTGCAGGTGACTATTACTGTGCATAATTATTAGGCAACTTAACAAAAAACAAATATATACCCATTTCAATTATTTATTATTACCAGTGAAACCAATATAACATCTCAACATTCACAAATATACATTTCTGACATTCAAAAACAAAACAAAAACAAATCAGTGACCAATATAGCCACCTTTCTTTGCAAGGACACTCAAAAGCCTGCCATCCATGGATTCTGTCAGTGTTTTGATCTGTTCACCATCAACATTGCGTGCAGCAGCAACCACAGCCTCCCAGACACTGTTCAGAGAGGTGTACTGTTTTCCCTCCTTGTAAATCTCACATTTGATGATGGACCACAGGTTCTCAATGGGGTTCAGATCAGGTGAACAAGGAGGCCATGTCATTAGATTTTCTTCTTTTATACCCTTTCTTGCCAGCCACGCTGTGGAGTACTTGGACGCGTGTGATGGAGCATTGTCCTGCATGAAAATCATGTTTTTCTTGAAGGATGCAGACTTCTTCCTGTACCACTGCTTGAAGAAGGTGTCTTCCAGGAACTGGCAGTAGGACTGGGAGTTGAGCTTGACTCCATCCTCAACCCGAAAAGGCCCCACAAGCTCATCTTTGATGATACCAGCCCAAACCAGTACTCCACCTCCACCTTGCTGGCGCCTGAGTCGGACTGGAGCTCTCTGCCCTTTACCAATCCAGCCACGGGCCCATCCATCTGGCCCATCAACACTCACTCTCATTTCATCAGTCCATAAAACCTTAGAAAAATCAGTCTTGAGATATTTCTTGGCCCAGTCTTGACGTTTCAGCTTGTGTGTCTTGTTCAGTGGTGGTCGTCTTTCAGCCTTTCTTACCTTGGCCATGTCTCTGAGTATTGCACACCTTGTGCTTTTGGGCACTCCAGTGATGTTGCAGCTCTGAAATATGGCCAAACTGGTGGCAAGTGGCATTGTGGCAGCTGCACGCTTGACTTTTCTCAGTTCATGGGCAGTTATTTTGCGCCTTGGTTTTTCCACACGCTTCTTGCGACCCTGTTGACTATTTTGAATGAAACGCTTGATTGTTCTATGATCACGCTTCAGAAGCTTTGCAATTTTAAGAGTGCTGCATCCCTCTGCAAGATATCTCACTATTTTTGACTTTTCTGAGCCTGTCAAGTCCTTCTTTTGACCCATTTTACCAAAGGAAAGGAAGTTGCCTAATAATTATGCACACCTGATATAGGGTGTTGATGTCATTAGACCACACCCCTTCTCATTACAGAGATGCACATCACCTAATATGCTTAATTGGTAGTAGGCTTTCGAGCCTATACAGCTTGGAGTAAGACAACATGCATAAAGAGGATGATGTGGTCAAAATACTCGTTTGCCTAATAATTCTGCACTCCCTGTATATTTAGTAAAAAAGGTTATAGTAACCCTTTAAAAACCATTACACTGCCATGAATAGCTTCTCAAACTGAAATCATTCAACAACCAGTTCAATAATTCTCAATCGTTCTGGCCCATATCTAACAATGACTAATGTCATTGTTAAAGAGTATAACCATAAGGAAAATACTGAGAAAATATCAAAGATGAAACTAGTGACACACAGGTTGTCATGACCACCTCGAATAACTACAGAAATAGCTACAGAAACAATGTAGAGGTAAAAAGAAAGTAGAAATTTTCATAGTGAGAAATGTTTGGCAAGAACTATACATCACATAAAAGTCAAAAAAAGACCAAAAAAAAACACATTAGGGAACAATCGTGGTCTGATGTAATTTTGTATCCCTGGACATAAATGCTTATGGTCATTACATACAATTATGAATTCTGTACTGTACCAGGAACTGCAATGGGAAAATGTCAGGGGATTGTTCCGTAAGGTGAGGCTTCACAGAAGCTAAAGATATTTTTCATTTTAAACTGCTGGGAAGAGCTGAAGAGGGCTTTTCATCAACTACTATTGGATACAGAGACAAATATCAAAAGAGCCAGTACCAGCAATTAAAACCTCTCAGCAATACGGGGGAACCTGAAGGAGGATGCAAAAAGATTTGCACAAGAACATTTTTAGGGGGGTAGGGGGGGTGATTGTATGACATTTATAACTCTATGGTGTATTGATTAAAATCCAGTCCTGACGTATATTCTTTTATTATGACTCTCTCAATATGATGGCTAATAAAGGGCAAGAAGGGACACTTCCCTGTGTGATGTCCCCTGGAGTAGTTAACTGCCTAACTACAAAGGAGGATTATCTGCTTCAATCAGAAAAAAAAAAGTATTTTCAGCATGTCACCTTGCAATATTAATGAAGCAAGGAAATACTCATTTCATTAATATGGAAGAGCATAGCTCAGTGGAGCAAAGCACTCAGCATTGCTCACATGTTAGACCGAGCATAGGCAACCTTTGTCACTCCAGATGTTTTGGACTACACCATTACCAGCATTATGGGTATACAAGCATTATGGGGGATGTAGTCCACAACATCTGGAGTGTCAACGGTTGCCTATCCCTGTGTTAGACTATTGAGAAAAGTAGGCAAGGAGAGGATAAATTAAAGGACCACTATAGGCACCCAGACCACTTCAGCGCAATGAAGTGGTCTAGGTGCCAGGTCCATCTAGGGTTAACCCTGCCTGCTGTAAACATAGTAGTTTTAGAGAAACTGCTATGTTTACATTAGGGTTAATCCAGCCTCTAGTGACTGTCTCACTGACAGCCGCTAGAGGCGCTTCCACGCTTCTCACTGTGATTTTCACAGTGAGATGATGCCAACGTTTATAGGAAAGCATTGAAAAATGCTTTTCTATGGACTGACTGAATGCGTGTGCGGCTCTTGCCCCTTCAACCCCTTCCTCCCCCTAGAGCCCGGTGGGAGGGGGGCCATGAGGATGGGGGGGACCTATTAACACTATAGTGCCAGGAAAACGAGTTTGTTTTCCTGGCAATATAGTGGTCATTTAACCATAGTATCTCTCCACACCAGGTAGCTATGTAGCACTGGGTGAACTCCAGTAAACATGACACTCAACCATGCATTGCCTTGGCTACTTACAAGGGTAGGCAAACGTCGTCACTCTACATTTTGTGGACTATATCTCCACTGATGCTTTGCCAGCATTATGTCTGTAATAGTGTTATGGGTGATGTAGTCCACAACATCTGGAGTACCAAAGTTTTTCTACCCCTAATCTACAACGTAATGCCGCTTGGCAAATATTGCTCACTTTTATTTTATCATTTTCATAAACCTATTTCAGCTTATTAACACATTAAACTGCCTGTATATTTTACATTTTCTTCTTGGCGAAACATTCAAACAATAAATACATAAAAATATACATATTGTTTGTTTCACATAATTTTAATGTTCGGGCTTCCTGTTATCATCTGTCGTGTTTTAAAGCCGCACATAAATAACATAAATCGAGTATAGAATAATTACAACATAAACGCTTTCTCTGTGCTTGAAAATAACCATAATAATAGACTATAATTTATATGCAGCATACCTTTTGAGACCTGGTTTCTGGGCCTTTTGTGGAGACCAATCAGTATTTGGAAGTTTGATCTGTAAAACAAAGCAAGAAAGTACATTTAAATATCGTCTAACACATTATGCTTTTGGACTGGTGAATATACTTTAAATATTGCTTCATATCAGGCTTTCTCAGCTGGGATCTTATCAAGACCCCCAACTGGCAAGATTTTTAGCATATCCCTGCATGAGACCAATTTGCATACACTCAGCTTTAATTACATTTAAATGGAGATGATTTGCAGGTGGCGTGGATGAAATGGAAAAAAAGACCTGATCTGTTGGAGGAATCGTTTGGATAATAGATGACGAGAAAATGTGTATAGAATCCTTAAATCAGCCTGAAATGTTTGAAGCTGGCCCCGTTCTATTCTCGCTTTGTGACAGATACAATACATTCCAGAAGGATTTTGTAGTTTAGGAAATGTGTATGGTATGTTAAAGGTAACAGTTTTGGTCATATTCACAAGATAAGCAATTTATGATAGCAGTTTATGTAAATAGGCAAATCAAATAAACCAAATCAAATGAGCTATTTATTAAAAATAGTTCAGGTTCATTTTTTCTGACAAGCAAAGAATGTAGCAGAATAGTGAAACACGGGGTTAGAAGAATAGTTTGTAAAAAAAAAGGGTTAAATCGATTGTGCACAGGAATATGAACTGTGACTGGAGCTACTCCAGAAAACACCTGCAGTGTTCTTTCATTTTCTGATACAATGAGCTTGAAATTGGTACCCATCACCTCCAGAAAAAAATGTGTTTTTATGCTGCTTTTGTTGTCTTACACAGCATTCAGTAGGTGGCATAGTATAGCAGCTTGATTGCATTCGGCCAAAAGATTTGAGTTTCCTAAAAAACAATAGAATCCGTACTGGTAATCATTATTCATTAACCAGCCTCTGCCCTAAAATATCCAGCATTAAATCCTTCTCATTCAGAATCCAGATCTAAGTTAACCCAAGCCTGTAACGTCAATCCTAGCTTGAAAAATCCACTCACTATAATTATCCTTTCAGTGTCACAAAGGAGAGCAACACAACGCACTGATCTACTTCATTGTACTGAAAAGGAATAAAAAGTGAGATCAAAAGGACTATAAACTGCATCATCTCTCTTCACTAGATGGAGAGAATAGAACCACAAGTATCAAAGATGCCCTCCTAAAAGCAAATATATGGAAACCTATTTGGTCTCACTATAAATAAGGAGGAACCTGCAAGAAATCTCAAACTACAGTCCAAAGCTTTGGACTAAGGGACAAGAGGTCTTGCTAGTTCCTCTGAGCAGTTATGTAATAACGATATTTATGATTTAGATTTTAACCAACATTCAATTTTAATAAATTTTATTTTACTCATTATAATTTTTTATTGTATATTTGTTTTTTTGAAGGTAGATGATAATATACTACTACACTTTATTTTATTCTGGGTGATTTGTGATTTTATATTATTAGCAATATTATCATTTTTTATGTTAGCGTTTCCAATCGCAGATGTTTGATTAGAAAATACCATCTTCAGGGTGGAGCTTAGTGGTGGAACAGGCATTTTCTAAACTCCTCAACACATCTAGTACAATCTGCTTTTTGGGGGAAATATAACTCATCAACCCTTGCTTTTACTGCAAATTGCTGTAGAAGATTGAGAGGAACCCCTGGATGCATTTCGTTTTTAGACCGGGGACCAAAGTCTCAAACCAGTCTCTCAGGGCTACCAACCACAGAGGCAACCTACAAGGAACGGTGCAACTGACAGAAGCCTGGAGAGGCCTAAAATTTTACTTAGCCCATCCTGTAAGAAGAGATGTGTTGGTGGAGGTCCCAAAATCCACCACCAGCGAAGACAATGCAGCTCCAAATACCAAAAAAGACATGTGGACATTAAAAATCTATTTGCAGCTGATATAACATTGGTAAAGGCAGAGGTACAAGCAGTAACTACACAAGTAAAAATCTCAGAGAAGGACATAAGAGACCTAAACTGGATACAGCTTAACAACTACAGAATCAACATTCTGCCCTTAATTTATGGGTTGACAACCTAGATGAAAAAGGTGGCCAGATAAATATCAAGATAAGGGGAGTCTCAGACTCTGTTACTATTGAAGGATTACCCAATTTTATTAGGCAATTAGTTTTCACACTGATGCCAGTTAGCAAGACAAACAACTCACACTTGATGGTGTCTACCACCTTGCAAAGTCTCCTCAAGCACTGTCTGCTGCACACAGAGAAACATGCCAAGTAATTCACCCTTGATGGTGCTTACCACCTTGCAAAGTCTCCCCAAGCACCTTTTGATGCACACTGGCACGTCAGGATCAAATACACTTAATGGCTGCTCTCCAACAAAAAGCACCCTTGGAGTTTGAGTCTCACCACTTTACATTCTTCATCGACCTACACCGTACAACACTACTTTGGCAGATGATAATGCCCGAAACTCAGAAGCTCAGGGATGCAGACATTGCTTATCGATGAACTGCTCCCAGATCACTTACAGTTGCCAATGCTACAAATCCGGCAGAGGCACATACTTTTCTCTTGACCGTTGGTTTAGGAGATGGAACACGGGAACAACTGGTACTCTACTCAAATCATGTGGAATGTAGAAAATGTGAGTCTCTTAACCCCCAGAAGGGGACATGACTCATTGACATAACCTTGTTTTTTATTCTACAAGTAAGCATTTGTCTTGTTTTATTTTGTTTTATTTTATCTTGTATTATTATGCCTTGCAGATTCCCACTGCTCACAATTTCTACATTCTCTAAGTCCTTAACCTAATGCTCCAGGGGGTATTTGTGCCAATATTATGAACACTAAACCTAACACTTATTGGTTTCTAAAATGGCCCTATGTTATTCTCTTCTCATTCCCGCCATGCCTCCTTTATCTCTTTGGTTATGGGCAATAATATGCCTTGTATTTAACTCATCTCTACATTTAGGGGTATATTCCTGTTAGATTTCATTAGTCTCTCTAATCTTTACCCAAGATGTATTAGATAAATTAGTATGTATCATAGTCGAGGCTTCTTCCATATGATTTAAACATTAGTCCTTGTAAAAAATAATAATAGGTGTGTTTTCTAGGCAGGAATGTGCGTTTTGTGACTCATGAAATTATGCAAATATATCTGACTTTTTGCAATGTATTATCTCATCTGCAAAAATAAAAATTGCATAAAAGAATATACCCTATTCACCTTGTCTGCAAAGGAGTCACAGACACCACTTAATAAAACTGCATATTAATACTATGTACAGGGAGATACATTATATAACTTTTTTTATTGCTTTGACCATTGGCATTGACCAACTCTATCCATGTCTAAAAGCATCAGACATGACATAGCATCCCAGCATACCTAGATGGGTCTACCAGAGCCGCATCTTGAGAAGCAATTTAACCTGTGTTGGTTTTGAGAGTTCTCACCACAAGTAGAACTTGAACCTATGAAAACATGATACATAATTAGCTTAATCAAAATTAGGATATAAGGTGGCACTCAGGAGTCAGTGGTCCAGGTATCAGAGAGTAAGCCACCAAAACTCTCAATGTAGCATATAATAAGAAAGGGGAAACAAAGGGAGAAAAAAAAGAATGGTACACTATGTATGTATATCATGTAATCAAAACTGGAAAAATTAAAACATGTACAAAATGTAAAAATGGTTAGATTCCAAAGAGTTTGTAAAATATTTTTTTTTTAGAGCAATCATATCCTTTCTGTGTGCACCACTCAGAGGGGGTGGGAGCAGGGCTTATAGGATGAGTTGCAAGACAATAGAAGAGTGGCCACCTCTACCACACCTACACAGATAGTATGTCCCCAAGAAGTCAGACCTAGTCAGGAGCCAAACTCAATAATGGAGGTGTTGGTGCAATCACCCAAGTAGCAGATGCCTGGCTTCTTTCAATTGGCAAGTAAAACAGGACATTCCACCATTTAAATACATAATAGAGAACTCTGCTGAGGAGCTATAGCATGTTGCTTCCACTCTGCATGGCAGCAAGCCCTGACCCTTAACTTGTGAATATTTATTTCATAATTAAATAAGTTTTTTGAGAAAAGACACAAAATCTGACCTAACCTGGACCTTCTAAATACCTGTGGTCCTCCCTCTGTAGACCAAGCGAAAAGCTTCAGAGACCCAGCTCTCCTGCTCCATCCTCCTTTATTCAGATGGGGCTTTATGAAGCACATACAGCACATCTGCTAAAGCCCTAATAACATACAATAAGCGCATTGCTTGCATGCTATTGCATTGAAATATTAGTGGCAGAAATAAGTTAGACGCTTCTGCTGGTAAAAATTTACATGCACTGTTCAATCTTTTCTATAAACTAATCATTTGTAATATAATTAATAAGTCAAAGCAGTGGGCACAGTACTTCAACTTTCTATTTTACTGCAAATAATGTATTTCTAAATAAAGGCAAGCAATTTCTTGAAAATATTAAAATTAACGGATGGTTCTTCGTGATACCTGACAATCATTAATTCTGATTCATGCGACTTTTAAGAAGAAGAAAAAAAAAAGAATATATGATTTTCCTTGTGTTCAGTAATACAAAGAATAATACAATGCTGCCATCTATAGGACTCTGTGATACATTTTCTCTAAAAAACAAGTTTACTGCTTTTTCAGATCCCTTGAAAGGTCATCTAAATTGCTACCAAGTAATAGAATATTTAGTTAAATTAATTACTGCCATTCAATCCAATTAACAGCTTTTGAACATTGCTTACAGAAATAGATCTGCTATCAATTAATGCCCTACTCACTGCCATATGTTGACATGTGCTATGAACACAATAATAAACATATTTGCATATCTGCCAATATTTTACCTCAAATTGAGTTTGAATTTATTCACAATCCAGATGGCAAGCTGCTCTGTAGATCACTGCATGCTGGTCAAATACACAAAATGTTATGCTGGCTTTAAATACGCAGTATATGTGTTATTACAACAGTGCCCTAATATGTAATGTGATTCAATTAACACTATAGTCACCCAGATCATTTTATCTCATTGGAAGTGGTGTTTGTGTCGTTTTAACCCTACAACGTAAAACATTGATATTTTTAAGAAACTTGCCGTGTTTACATAACAGAGTTAAGTCCACCTACTTGGCTGTCAGTATGATAGCCTCTAGAGATTCTACCGCTTCACTGACCACGTATAACTTGGTCATGTGACATAGATGCTTTCCAGAGAAAATGCAGTGTTTACATTACAGCCTAGTGATAACTTCACTGGCCACTCCTCAGATAGCTGTTAGAGATCCTTCCTGGGTCATGGCTGCCTAAAATGCATCTAAACATTCAGTATCTCCTCCCTCTGCATGCAGACACTAAACCTTCCTCATAGAGATTCATTGATTCAATTCATCTCTCTGAGGAGATGCTGATTGGTCAAGGCTGTGTTTGAATAATGCTGGTTCTGCCCCTGATCTGCCTCTTTCTCAGCCAATCATGTGGGGAAGCACTGTGATTGGATCAGGCTACCACTTCTGATGATGTCAGCAGACTGCTTGTTTTTTTTTTTTTTAGGCAAACAGCATGCAGCTTCAGGCTTGAATACAGTAAGATTTTGCTATATTTATGGAGGCATGAGGGGCCCATGGGGTGCTAGATGGTGGTTTTAACACTATAGGGTCAGGAATACATGTTTGTGTTCCTGAACCTATAGTGATCCTTTAACAAAAGTAGGGACAGGGACGTTACAGCGTTAGGAATACAGATTTGTACTCCTAAAGCTGTACTGTTCCTTTAAAAGAATATATGTAGAACCCTTTAAATACAAAATAATACAAGCAAAGTAGGCAAATGTTGTTTTTATAATGACAGTTCTGACAAGTCATCTGTCTTAATGGAATTAATGACTAAACCACGAGACTAGATTTCATCTATTAAAAAGTGTTTGAGACATAATCGTTAAGTTATCTGTTCAGTCAATAAGGAGTTATGGTGAGGTGACAGGTGACTAGCAAATTGTAGGCTAAAACATACAATCTGGGGAAAAATTTTGATTCAGCTAAGATAAAGATTTTCTTCTATATCGGTTACAATTTGTTAACTAACCATCGCTCTCCATAAAATGAACATACCACCTTACATTTGCTTATCATAAAATACTGCTTCTATTATTTTTATAGGAGGCACCATAAGGAAGGCAGAAGAAACCGTCTTGATGTTGGCATGATGAAAGGTTTTCATTCTTTAACATGCAATGCAATTTTGGACACATGTTCATACAACATGATGGAACAGGAGAGGGTTCAATGGTGGATTGCAAAATGAATTTAGGAGAATGGAATATTTCAGCTAACAGGATAAATATTTTAAACTGAACCTAGTTCAGGCTAAAGCAGGAGTATCAAATTAACTTGCAACAGAGGCCCAATTTAGAAAACAATTTAAAAGAAAGAAGACAAGATAATTAATTAAGGTGTGAGTTATCAGTATTTCAAAGTGAATTAAAAGGGAAGTTAAATTAGGACAATAGTTGAACTGATGACATAGTTGATTTCCCAATGTTGTTTAAACCAAGCATCAGCAGTTGGACAACATGTGGTGTAAGCTACTTTAATTGTGAAGTGGCTGTTCGTGCTAAACATGGTGGAGTGATTATCTTTAAATTAATTGCCGGAATTTTATTTTTTTTACCAGCCTCTATAGTTCACATAAAATGGTGCAAAACAACATCCAGTAAGCAGTAGTACTTTGAGCGACAATGCCTTGTTAATGAGATAGATCAGTGGAGAATATCCAGGCTAGTTCAAGCTTAAAGGAAAGTGACAGTAAATGAAATAACCATGTGTTACACCAGGGCTATGCGCAGCACATCAAGATTTGAAGTGAATAGGAAGAAGACACTGGGTTCTATTTTTGTCAGCTAAGAACAAAAGACCGAGTCTACACTGAGTACTAGCAAACCAAAATTAGATAGTAGCAGATTGAAAAATGCCTAGTTTGATAAATCTCAGTTTCTAATGTTACAAACAGATGGCAGGGTCAAAATTTAGTGTAAGTACCATTAGTCTGAGGATCAGTCTTGCTTTGTGCCAACCGTCCATGAAGGTGATGGAATGATTAGGGGAATATTTTCTTGGGAGACACCAGGCACCATAATACCAACTGGCATTTAAACACACTTAAATGCCACACATTATTTGAGTATTTTTGCCAACACCATGCTTCCCTTTATGACCAGTATCGGTCCTTCTTCTAATGACTATTTACAGTAGAATAAAGCACAATATCACAAGCTACATATAATCTCAAGCTGCTTTCATAAACAAACTACGACATGAATTTGCAGCGGACAATTCAGCAGCAACTGACGCTATCGCAACAACATGGATCAGCAAACAGAGACCAAACTCAAAATGAAAAGGTGTAACTAACAAAGTGGCCCGTGGGTATATATAGAATTGTTGGATTCATACTCTTGTCTTTCTCCCTCTAGCCATCATAAGTGACTATGACTCTTTTTGTGCATGTGAGAGGACCTCTGAAAAAGCTTTCCATGGTCCACCTCTGCCATTGTGATGGATTTATCCATAGTATTCTTTGTAAGTTTGGTATTATGATATCCATTCATTGATCTTTAAGCTATATATAGGTTACCATGTGTATCAAACACTAGCAAAATGTTGGAAGCGAGTGTTTGTTAGGTCACTGTAAAAACATGTCACCAGCCTATGTCTATTGTAGGTGTTATGAAACAAACCGAAAATTATTTGGATTGTGGGTATGGCAATAAGGAATGTTTATGGTATCTAAGCATATAATAAAACACCACATTTTATGTATTGTTATTTTTTGAAGTCTGACTTATTTGGGAACATATTTTCTCTTTAAAATAATGTTCAGACCAAAAAATGTCTTTGAGATTATGCTTAGAGATATGCTAATACAAACAGCCTTCTTTTTTCTCTTGATCATCAGCAAGACTATGGAAAAAATATGGCAGGATATTCACAATTCTAAAGAATTCTTATTTCTGTGTTTATTCGAATCTCTGCATTTTAAATGAAGTACTTTAAGAAGATGCTGTGCCATTTCAGTGGATATACATAAAAGCTCTGCACGATATACTTTGAAATCTTTCACTTTGAAGATCTATTTCTAACAATTTGTTGTCCGTGTCTAAATTATTTGAGGGTAAGATAATTCTTCAATATGCTTCTAATTCTAAAACTAACATCTACATAAATAATTCAGTGCTGTCTGACCATTTTTAAATTTTTTTTTTAAATCTTCCTTCTGTCATCACACATTTTATCAACTTCATTTACAATCATTCTTTCCTTCTTTACTGGAAACATATATCTTTTTTATGTAATTCATTATTTTGTTATGTTTGGGTCATTTTTCACTGAATAGATAAATGTAAAACGCCAATGAAAAATGTACTTTCCATCCATAACTAAATTTCTTCTTGAACCCATTAAGCATTTGATCTCTCTTTATTATGAAAATAACATTTTAACTACAACTTCCCTTCACCCCCTTAACTCCCCGCAATAAAAAAAAATTCAACAATATCAGCATTTTAGGAGTTCTTATATCGTCAGTCATGGGAAATAGGCACACCAATGCACTAATTTGATTTGAATAGAACAGTTATATTGACCAGTCCTAAAAGTCCCACAACCAGAAGTTAGCATCTATCAATTACCTGGTATTATGACTAGACCTGTATATGGCAACAAAATTTGGTACGACTGAATCAATCTGAAATAAAAAATCTTGTTTGGGTAGTTCGAAATTTGTCCATGTTGCGTTTCGGTTTAGATGTATCTTAACCATGCAATTGTTTCGAAAAAAACAATTTGGATGAACCAAAAGAGCATACCATAAATATTAGAAATATCAACCAAGAATAATATTAATACATAGGGATGTGGAAAGAGCGCAGGTAACTTTTTTTCTTTGGTTTTTACTACAAGAATAATATGTATATAAACAATAAATATTCTTTAAATAGCTTGCAATACACTGATAGGCCATTTTGTTCATAGATCAAGTGAGAAGAATTAACCATGCAGTAAAAAAAAAAGCTATATTTATACAGTATATTCATATATAATATATTCATTAAATCTATCATATTTAAAATAGATAAAGAAAATTATTGCTCCTTCTTTTTTCCCTCTATTGGCCATTTTTATCTGATCTGTGACTAAAATAAACATTTAATCACTGTCCCCTACGCATAAATCCGATTTTGTTTTCCATCATTCAGATCTAATTTTGGTGTCAGAGACAGAACTCCAAATCACAAAACAAGCAATTGCAGACAAACCACAATTTGAAACCAAATGTCCAAGTCTAATTATTACTATTCAATGTTTCCCTCTGGTCTAAACTTAGCTTTCTTTTTTAGTTCCTAGTCATTTTCTTTCTTCCCTCGTTTTTCAATTTTTGGTCAGTTCTGTGACCACCTGAGCTCTGGCTCTGGAATGTTTTCGACTCAATAGAAAATATAGACAATCTATTTTCAATGTACTGTCATCTTTCTCTTTTATATAATACTAAGTTTTGATGGCACTCTTTGTGTACAGCTCTGTATTGCGGCTTTTATAATGTCACTCAGTTTTCTTGCAGTTATTGTGACAGCTTTCGTTATTGCAAAATAATATTAAACATGTCATTTATGGAAAATAAAGGAAAGTGTGGTTGCTGTTTCACATTATAGAATGATTAATTTGTTTTACTCTAGCATATTTTGCACATTGTAAGCAAATATTGTTTACTGCAGAAGATCAGAACCCTTTGTTCCAGTGTTGTACTCCCTAAATATATCATTTTACCTTTATGTATAAAAATAGAGATAAAAGCTACAGTTAGACACTTAGACATCCCTGTGGCTTAATAGGATGCCGAGGTCAAAAACAGCAAACCTTGGCCACCTGATATATCCAAATCATATTTCTAATGATGCTCAAGCTGACATATAACTACAGAGACTTACAAAGATCTAGGTTACGGAGACTGCTATTGATAACTTACAGATCTGACCCCAAAGACTTGAATGACAAATCTACGGAGAACAGCATGGAGATCTTGCAGGACCATTAAGCTAACAAATTTGCTTGCAATTTTCAGCCATGTGCAAATGAAAACCAAGAATCACTATCGCACAAAGGAGAACTCAGCAGGATATGAAATAATATTTGCATTACATAGATATGACTCATTAAAGTGACTGGCAGGTACCTTGTTAATGAAACACTTTTGATAGGAATTTCTCTGCCCTTACCTTATTGCCATATATTAACTATATATAACCAATGGTAATCCAGGAGATGAGTTATTGCTATAGAAAAGGGACTCAAAGGTTTTACCATTCTTGTACAGAAAATGGACTCAAAGTTTTCAGCATATTTGTATGGATTTCATAGTAGTATATGTCTCCATATAATGAATGCAGAAAGGAACAGTTTTAAGCTGCAAATTAACAATGTGAGCAAGAGTGTACTTAATTTTCTCACCAAATTTTGACTAAAAAAAAAAAAGACACCTTTGAGAAGAAATGTGTCTACCCAGGAGAGTGTGTATTCAATCAAAGCCTTGGACTAAGCTTGACCAAAGGTTCAAAGCAAAATCTCTTGATTTACCCTTCTGACAGAGAAATGATATGATTTACTTATCCAAAACAGCTATTAAAATGCACGGCAATAAAAAAAATACTTCTGCACCTTTTTACTAGTCCGTTGATGACTACTTTGGCACTGCAGATATTTTTGAGTTTCATTTCTCATAAGGTTGTCTGTCGTAACATCACAGAGAATTGCAGTTAGCCATCACTTGAAGTAAGACATCCAGGGGGCAGTAATGAGCCATAGGGACCATTTTGAAAGGTACATTCCACAACTATGCTAGCTGTGCTCTATAGGTGTCACTGTTTCAGGTGTATATTACATCACCACTCTCACTGATTGACTGTACATAGAAATAGATTGAACACAAGCTTGCACCAATACCAGAACTCTTTCACAGTTTGTGAGGTGAATTGGCAAAATAACAATAGGTAAATAATAGTTGAATATGGTTTGAACTGAAGTTAGAGCAAAGGATGAAAATTTACCTAAAAACAGAAGCCAGGGACAAAGATTAGGAGCCAGCTATAATATTCATTTTCTCAGTCTTTTATTTTTACTAAAAAGTTTAGTGACACCTAATTTTCAAAAGTTGTTATGGTGTTTGGTTTGCTTTTAAAGAATCACTCCAAGCACAAGCCTGCCATTGTGGTTATGAAACATAGAAACATAGAACGTGACGGCAGATAAGAACCATTTGGCCCATCTAGTCTGCCCAATTTTTGTTTTAAATACTTTCAGTAGTCCCTGGCCTAATCTTATAGTTAGGATAGCTTTATGCCTATTCCACGTATGCAAGAAATGCCCTGGCTGGTACCATCCCAAAGTAGTCTGGCAAAACATTTTAGCATGATTTGACACTTACCTGGGTCACCAACAGGTGCCCACATGGCTTACAGTCTTCCCAAGCAGGAGAATTTGGATGCAGATATACGGTAGGTGTTAATTTATTGACTCCCAGCATCAGCTGAACACTCTCAGCCATTGTGTGAGTTAAATGTGTTCTTATCCTAATTATCAAAATTGACTTCTGTTTTCTCTAGTTATAGATGACACAAAGCAGAGCGGGGGCCCTGTGGGATCCAGGAAAGTGTCAAAGAAGGCATATATGTATTTACATGTGCTCCAGCCAGCTGTCAAGTAGCCACTGCAAACCAGCATAAATTGGAGAATCAATCATCAGTTGAAGACTTTTTCAGGGCTTGAGCCATTTTATTCTTCTCTTTATCAATTGTTAATACCACGAGTATAGGCTTGTGTTAAGTACCAGGTTTGATCTGACCTGAAATTATTTTACACTCAGCTTAAATCATTGTTTGAAAAGTTCCAAAACGAATATTCACTGCAAATGCAAAAAAAAAAAAAAAAAAAAATAGCTTACATATTTGCATTTAAAATTGTGACATGAATGGTCTACTCATAGGGAGAAATTTTGGGCATTAACCTTGGCCATTGAAGGGCATCAGAATAATTGAATGAAAACAGGCACATCAAATAGAGGAGAATTCAATGAAGAAAGTTAGGAAGGAGGACCCTAAATTTACTTAATTGCAAAAATGGTGATAGTAGCTGCACTCAGCAATCCCACAACGACAAAGCAGCACAAGAAATTCTCCATGGAACTCAAGATGTTAAAGCCGCAGGCAGTTTTAAAAGAACAAAAGGAGCAGCAACGTTTAGACTTGCTAAGAGGTCTTTGTCAAGCTACCCTAAATTACTTAAGGCACCTTAAGTAAGCCCTAAGTGTACTGCTTGCAAATTAAAGGGACACTTACAGGCACCAAAACAACTTAATCCAAATTAAGTTGTTATGGTGCCAGGAGGACCCTGGAGGCACTTTTACCTCATGGGGATAAACCATGCAGCATCTGGCTTCAGTATTTTCACTTACAGTAAACGCGGAGTGCCGCCATGGATGGGTGCCACTTATTGGCTGAGAGCAGTCAGCTGATGTTCTCAGCCAATCAGTGACTCCCCGTTAGCTAAACTGGCTTTGAAAGAAACATACCTTTCTCAAGTCAGTTGATTAAATGGAGAGTCACTGACTAGCTTACAGCATCAGCTGACCACTCTCAGTCAAGCTTTGGCACTCCTGCCTGGCAACACTCCGCACTTCCTGTAAGTGAAAATGAATAAGCCGGATGCTACTGGGGGGAACTGAGACCAGCACTGGTGGGAACTTAGGGGTTAAACCATTTAAGAACAGTTTACTCCTCTGAGGTAAGATTGCCTCCAGGGGCCTCTTGGCATCATAACAACTTCATTTAGATGATTCTGTTTTGGTGCCTAGAGTGTCCCTTTAATTAGGTTAATTAGTCATTCGCCTCAGTTCAAAACATTAAGTGCAAGGGTGCCAGTTCAAACTTTAAATACAGTTTCGTAGGTGTTCATTTAAGTCTAACATGAAAATAATTGTAATAATAATAATTGTAATTTAGTATTATATATGTGATGTTTAAGAATGGTAAATATAGCAAAGATTGCCACTTAAACTAGTTTGAAAACATTCCTTTGGGTTTTTATTTTGTCTTTTTATTTACCATAGTAAAGTGAAAAAGGAAACATTCACAGACAACGTCTCTAAATCTGAACGTTACACAAAATAATGGGCAAACCTCGTCTAGACTTTGAACATTCATGGATGCCCTTTCAACAACTATGCCAGAGATAGTCTTAATATATTTGAAATTCTTGAAACAGTGAAAGAGTTAAGGAACATCAAATCACTTTATTTCTGTATTGCAAAACTGTTATAAGAGAAAGCGGTCAACATTACTGGCTGCTGTTCAGTGCCCTGGAAAACGATAAGAACGCGCCCTCAATAAATGAAAACAGTGTGTCAAATGTTTTTCTCATCATCAAAACATACTTTGTTTTGCAATTTTGACTTGTACGGGAATAAAAAAAATCTGTATTCATAGCTTTTATCTATTTTTCTAGTGGTTCATATTTTTCAAAGTTCAGGACTTTGTATTAACATCTGAACTCCATCAGAAAGCTGTAATAAGCCTCAGCAGAGGTAAGTTACCACTCACAAATCAGTGGGTTCTGTTGAAGTCTATGAACATCATAAATTAGAATGTGCTAACGTCTCTCTAAATGGGTTTCACATTGTGTGAAGAATCATAGTCAGTTAATGAAGCAAGTTAATGGCGCTCATAAAGGTAGCAAGGAGATAGATCAGGAGGGGGGGGGGGACCTTGACCTTTTCTTTGATGGCTCTTCCAGCAATGAATGGTTAAAGGAAACCTTGGGATGACACTGATGTATCATTTTTCTTTGAACTTGCAATCGATAGAGAGTTACTACTTTAGGTCATATACCGATTATTCCCTCAAACCATTAAAATCAAATAAGTTATAGTAATGGAAATTCTAGGGTAGGAAAAAAAACCTCTTGGAATATAAAATGGCTGTCATGTTTATAAAAGGAATATTCTGTTTGTCTCACACTATGAAAGGGGAAACAGCAGGGATATTATATATCTAGTACACAAACCTTCTTTCCACACATAACATGGATAAAATTGAAAATGCCAGAACTGATCTGTTGCAGAAATGCTTTTTTTTTTTTTAGTAAAATACAAATGTTGCTCTTACAAAAGCCTCAAGGACACACAAGGTTTACCGGTAGTTAACACAAATTACAATGATATTATGGTAATAATCCTTTTCTTACCCATTTGTTTTCCCATTACTTGATTTTCGACACCCTGGGGTGTTATAAAACCCCAGCTGAGAAATGTTACATTCAAGAAGCAAAGAAAAATTGGAAAGTGAATGGCAGCTGAAATGTGAAGACAAAAAAAAAAACAAACACAAAAGAAAGAAGTCAAGAACCATGGAATGAAAATGTGGAATAAAAGGAAAGGTGAGCAAGATAAGACTCTGCTGGTACAAATTAATTTATATGCATTAGAATAGAAAACATACAGAATTGCTATGACTATTGTTCTTCGTGGAACAACCCCATAAATGCTTAGAGTCAATCAGAGACATGTGTCGTTCGCTGCGGATTTGTCTAGCTCCCCACTATGAATATTCGACTTTAAGAATATATATTGGCTTATTTAGAAATAGAGAATTGTGGTAATCCGAAATTAGAATTGGAAATGTAGCCAACTTGGTTGTTTTGGACTTGTGTAGAAATTATGGTGTGGAATCAATGAATAAACATTTTAAACCCATAAATTCTCAAATTCAGGTAAATAGTAACATCACAAAATGCCATAAAATGGACAACATTCTGCCGTATTCAAATTGAAGACACATTAACCAAAAATTGTGTATATGTTACCTATAACAGACTTTCAAGAATATGCAGACAGTTCCTAGCACTATTGACAGAGCTTGAAACAGGACTGTGTGTGCACATGATTAATGAAATGTGTTCACATAATAATAGGAGTTTGTGCACACATCATAAAACACATTTATAGGCATCTCTAGTGTCATCACTCTATGAGGGTGCAAAAGGACAGCTGAGTACTGCTTTTTATTACCTGCTCCCTGCTTGTATTCTGGTTCTTTACTGTACTATAGTGGGTTTGAGGACATGAAATGATATACCCATGTATGCGTCATGTAATACAGCAATAGTTAGATTTGCTAACTATTAAGTTATGGAACCTTACACACACTTTTTCTCATGAAAATTATGGCTAGCTTGCCTAAATAAACAGCAGATATACCTTAGTGGCCAGGGCTACAAACTGCCTATTAAAGAGACATTCTAAGTATTTTAAAAAATAATAATTAAATTAAAGGACAACTAAATGTACCCAAACTACTAAATCTTAAAAATGTGGTTCAAGTGCACTGGTCCTATAGTTTTAACTCTTCAATGTATACCATTGCCATTTTCTAGAAACATAAATGTTTACAGTAAAGGGTTAAATACACGTCTAGTGGCTGTCTTCCTGAGAGCCACTAGGTGCTTATGCCTCTGAAACCAAGTCAAACTCGGTCCATCAGGCAAATGCTGCTTGTAGCAGTATTTGATTGGAGAAGTGTGGCATATAGCTGCACATGTGTATCTTGTTTCCAATGCTTCTTTATGAGAAGCATTGAAGAGGGACAGAAATGAACTGCATTGGAGGAGTCTTGGTACTGGAAACAAGGTAAGTGATCTTTATTTAACTTTAATTATTACCAGCGATGATCACATTTTAGAATGGAATCTTTAGCCCTGCAAAAAATAAAATATTATTTTCAGGGCTGAACGTTCCCTTTAAGCTATCTGTTCAAAGCAATTAAAAAATGCCAGGATCAAAACATAAGCAATATTTCTTTCTGTAAAGGTTGGTCCACAATAACCTACTATTTCTTCTCAAAAGAGGGCTGCAAAAAAATTAATACTTCCAAACACGTAACTCAATATTACCCATGCTCACATAACAAAGACTTTTCCCAAAATTGGCTATATATTAGCTATATATCTCTAAAGCCCAATCAAATGCATATTTTCATTACAAAAACAGTTCCCGAAACATTTTGAAGTTCCATTCCAAAAAAAAGTCAGGAGGGTTAGTATTTTATTATTCCATAATGAATTAACCAAAATTGCAACAAAAAAAAAATCAATTTTCCTAGTCTAACATTTATCATTTACATGTGTGCCTTTTGTTCTATTATTTTAGGGATAATGCACATCAAATTATGTAATTGTAGCTCAAATGGAAAGTCTGACTTAATTTCCTCCCTTTCTGTGTTTATTTGTGACATGTTTGTTCTACTATGAATATTATTTAAAATGAATGGGCAAATTACATTTGCTGTTATTTAAGGGAATAACACATCTACAGCACAGACATAAGAACCGGAGAAAAACATCAACAAACTAATCGTGTAATAAGAGGCTGCCAGTGGAGTGCTTGCAATCTATCGCTAATAGGCCTAGCAATTCATCAAGATTCACGGCATTAAGTGTAAAACATAGTAATTAATTTTAGAGACAGGGTAATTATGCTTTGGGTTATCAGAACATTCCAGGCTGTTGTTAGTTTAAAAATGATGTTGTGATGTAGTATTCGAGTTGACCTGTCACTTATACAGCTTTTACCATCATTAAATGCATTTATTAAAACAAAGTATCACTTATACTTGTGGTTCTCCAATTCAATAATTGTTTCAGACAACTGGTTCAAATCTATTGACCATTTTACATCAGCCAAGATAACATTCATTGGTATTCCAGCCAAATCCTACATAATTCTAATGTTCTCTTACATGTGCCTCTCAGCTCCTCATTCCTTCTTCTATGGACCAACCATTTCCACCTAATGAAACTGTGTCAAACTGTGGCTGTACAACATCTGGAATTCAGTTTGATGCCCTTTGAGATGCTAATCATGCATTCACTTTGACAGTTTTTTTCAGGTGGATTTTCTCTTCAGCATTCACGTAAGGCATTCCAATGCCTTGCTATTTATTGTACTAATAGGAGCAAAATGCACATTTATTTAAAGGAGTACTATAGGGTCAGGAACACAAACATGTATTCCTGACCCTGTAGGGTTAAAACCACCATCTAGTCCCCCTGGCCCCCCTCTTACCTCCTTAAATATAGTAAAATCTTACTTGTATTCAAGCCTGATGCTGCTGGCTTTGTCCTTGTTTCCTTTTGACCTGCCCACTGCCTACTGACATCAGCAGAAGTGGTGGCCCGATTCAATCACAATGCTTCCCCATAGGATTGGCTGAACCTGATAAAGTGACAGATCAGGGGCAGAGCCAGCATGATTCAAACACAGCCCTGACTAATCAGCATCTCCTCATAGAGATGAATTGAATCAATGAATCTCTATGAGGAAAGTTCAGTGTCTGCATGCAGAGGGAGGAGATACTGAATGTTTGGATACATTTTAGGCAGCCATGACCCAGGAAGGATCTCTAACAGCCATCTATGGAGTGGCCAGTGAAGTTATCACTAGGCTGTAATGTAAACACTGCCTTTTCTTTGAAAAGGCAGTGTTTACAGCAAAAAGCCTGAAGGTAATGATTCTACTCTAATAAGCTGTAGTTGTTCTGGTGACTATAGTGTCCCTTTAATACATTTGAACAATGCAGTTAATATACTTGCATCTATTTGTTTTTTAAAATTTCCTTCCTAACTGCCTAAAATCCTAACTTTTTTAAGATGTCTAACTTTTTCTGCACCTGAGCTGACCACCCATTTTCCCAGCACAAACTTCATTGTTATTGCAGAACTGTGTCCAATGAAACCCTTCTGATAAAAGGACAGGCAGTTATTAAAATAAACGTTTAGTGAATATACCTTTAAGCATATTTGTAAGCTACGAAAATGTACATGAAAATAGATATTACTAAAAGAAAATGATTTATGCCTTGCTAGGTGCTTCTCAGCTTTGAATCATGAGATAAAAAGGACCCCTACCAGCCCAGGAAGTCATAAACAACACACTCAGCTGTCATATGTGGACATTAAATAGGGTCTAAATGGATCATACTGACAGCCATACAGGTGCTTCCATGGGCATTAAGCAAATAATATTCAATCACGGGAAGCGTAAGTCCATAGGAAATCATTGAAAGATGCTTTGCTATGAGGAAGCTTGGATGGGCTTGCTCTATGAGGAGCACTGGATTGCACTTTAGTGGAGGAGGCCATGCCTCTTTCATGACGTTTCAGGAGGTGGAGAAGTGAGTAATGCTAAAGGAACCTCGGCGCTAGAAAAAGGTAAGTGAAATGTTTATTCTATTAATTTTTACGGCACATTGGGGGGGGGCTGCCTAGAGCTAGGAACTGAGGCACTATAGCATTAGGAATAATTTTATAGTGTTCCATTACCTTCTAAATGACCAAGAATTAAGCAGAGAGACTACATTGGCATGATCTATAGACCAAATCCACTTCATAACATTGAAGTATTTTTAGTGCATACATAGACTGTTTTTTTAACAAAATACATTTGTTGTGAATGACTGAAAATTGCTCTTCTTTCTTTCCTGCATCTAGTGATGCTAATTTGAAAAGTCTATCTTTATTACCAATATGGTAAGCATTGTTAGGCTCTGAAACTGAGTGCACTACAAGGATTTTTTTTACAGATAGCTGGAACATCATACAAATCCATACATAATGCAAATAGTGTTATCATACCAAGTGTATATTTGCATCATGCCGACATACATACAAGTCTCCCAACAATTACAGGTTCGGTAGGCAAGTCCTGAATTTGGTTTCCTGTCCCACAATTCCAGGTTTGCCACTTCTGGGAACGCGTGAAACCACAGCATTAACACAACTTTGGATGCGCATGCACTGTACAAGAACACACAGGGCATACAGACTTTGAAATGGAGCTTCAGAAGTGCTCTGTGCATAGCCAGAACTGAGTGCGGTTCTGAGGACAAGACTGCCCAGTATTTGGTACACTCTGCACCCCTGCTCATCACTGGCCCACTCACTTGTGGTTCACTCCTATTGAAACATCCCAAACCTTCTGCTGACACTCTGTATGAATCTGCATATGTAAAAGTGCAATCATGTTCTCTAATAAAACCGATAATCAGGTGTTCAACCATTATTGCTTATCTATATTAAAATGTGTAAATTTACATTTTAGATATCCCTGAACAGTACTTTAACTAGAATGCATTCAGTGTCTAAAAGGTGCGTAATAGTGAAGGGCGAATGTATTCATAGCATTACAGAGACATATTAAGATGTTTATTTCCTCAACAATGAATTTAGGAAAACAGGAAACCAAACATTCTATATGTAAGCAAAAACATACCCCAGTCGTCACAGTTTGCAAATTAACTTTCACCATAAGCTAGAGTTTGGTAAATAAATTTTTACATTTATTAAAATGTATAAATTAAGATTTTGAAGAACAGAATGTCCACTTTTATAATGTGATGCAAAAGCATTTAGACCAGGGGTGCCTAAAACGTAGATCCCCAAATGTATTAAAACAATAGCTTCCATGATGCTATGTCATTCTAAAGGCTTTCTAGAGGCATGCAAAGCATCATGGGAGTTGTAGTTCTGCAAAATCTGGGGATCTACATATTGAGCATCCCTGATTTGGACCAAAGTAGCCAAAATTGTTAAACAACTTTGATTTTGAACTCTTTCTCCCATACTATCATAGATGATATAGAATAAATAGGTTATCGTTTTTTTTAAGTAGAATCTGCAGTGAACATACTGTCATGACAAGAAGCATGGGATGTCACTAAAGAGTTAATGTGTACAATTTGCAGAAATACTTCAGATTTCATTAGAAGAAATACTAATTGTTAGAAATACTTCTGATTTAATTAAAAATTAATGAGGAATCCCCTATATATTTGTGTTCAACAGTAATTAGAAGGTTTTCAGTTACTGTTAGATATTTTGATCCTTTGCAGAGATTTCCAGATCTGCTACCTAATAATCTAATGAAGGAACAAATCTAATACGATCCAGCCAAGATGACGACTATTTAAGCAGCTCTTTGGTTTATTAAAATCTGAAAGAAACCTGAGTTGGATGAATCATGTAAGCAGAGTGAGCACTACTGGTGTGTTAGCATGTTGTTCAAGGAGACACGCAGGGCAATTCAAGCATAGTAATTCATCTTACCATTGTTTGCCTGACAGTTACACGGTATTCTTTATAAATATGGATGGAAAGTAACGCAGCCCTGTATATGTTTTATATGTCAGGAAACAGCAGGCTTGTTTGGCTAATAAGTTTAAAGATAAAGCTTGTACGCCTGTATGTATTTTAAAATAGAATCGAATAGTATGTATTTATTCACGTGAAATGCTCTTATTCTCCAGCCTGTGGCTTCTTGCATTCAAATGAACTGATAGAATAGGAGAGGTATTAAGATTTACAGCCTTATATTTTCCCCCTTTTATTCTAATTTGTTTAAGTCATTTGGGAATTCTAAGTAAATTTTACACCAATATTGCAGAACTGGAAGCATATCTGATCATTTTTCCAATTCCACTATTTTGGCCTTAAATTAGAAATTCACTTTAAATTTTTGACTGCTGTGACTATAGTAAACAGCACTATAAGTCTCTTTCTGTAGTGGAGAGCAGGTATTCCCAAACCAGTCCTCAAGGTATACTACTGGCCAAGTAAAAGGAATGAACAGTGGTCAGTGGCGTACACTAGGGCCCCGGTGAAAAACTGATCCATGGGGCCCACCCACATGATATTCATTTCCATCGGGTGGCCCTAACAGCATGGGCTACCCGATGGACCCCTACACGTACGGCCCCAGCAATTATACAGCACGGCTGGGGCCGCAACACATGGCTGTCAGGCACCTCATCGCAGGGGTCCGCAAGGCGGCCGGGCTTCCCGTGTGTGACGGGTCGCAGTATGTACACCACTGACAGTGGTATAAATCAGGAACATAGATCACTAGTATTTGTCATCTAACCACAATGACAGTTGGAACAGAAAGTTATGATTTAAGTTATTTTAACAAATTTACTTTGTATGAATGGAGGCAAGACCTACCCATCCTCCTGTTATGAATCATTGTTGTGTTGCCAGTTTAAATAAATCTGTTAGGTGAGTGATGTAGAAACCACTATAGATAAAGGATTTGATGCCATATAAGGTGCTAACCTGAACCAATTTATTTCAAAAGTGTAACTTAACAGAAGTCACGATGAAAGAGAAATTTACAAAGCAATACATTATAAAAGCAATTTGCTAGGATGATAAGGTTAAATCACAACATTGATAAACTGTGGTATGAATTTTATAGTTGAGCTATAATTGCCTAATGATCAATTAAAAAACTGAACAGTAAAGGTGACTAAAGACATCTGCTATCAGATATTAGCGAATATCTCCTGGACAACACTAATTACAAGGGTAAAAATGAAAGACTAACTTGAAGATTGGCCTTACGAGCTCAGAATAAAGATGGTTTGTTTTTCGTTTTAATAACTCCTTCCTACACCTTCTAGATTTGTACAGTTTCTGGAGACAGCCAATAACGCAACCTCTTCAGAACCAATTGCATTTGAGGATTTTCAAGAAATCAAGGTCACAATGGGATTGATTTATCCTATCCCTAAGAATGTTTCCAAATGTATTATTTTGCTCAAATATGCAATTCACATGAAATTCACTACTATGTACTATTTTGTTAAAAGGCTCTGAGGATGTTCTATTTATAAAGTATGCTCTGCACTGTACATTTTTAGTTTGGGTTAAATAATATTTTTAGTGATAATTACTGTAACGGCACCCAGGGCATAAAAGGGTTAAACCGCCGTTTAGTAGATCTTCCCTTCCAGAGACACAGGCACAGCTACTGTAGACACTAATCCACCGAACCGGAGAAGCATATGAATGCCATAAACAGCTGAACCAGAACCACATGAATGCTGTAAACAGCCGAATAGGAAAAACCATACAAATAGGTTTACACTCCTAGCAGTCAAACTGGAACAGCATACAGTAAATGCCCCCAAGAACGAGACAAAGCTCCGTGTTGAGGGTCAAGCAGTGAACAGACAGAGCTGTGGGTTTATTGTTCTTATGTACACATTCTTACACATTAGTACCACCCACCGGGTTTTGGAAAACAACCAATAAACATGTACAATACACTCAGACACTCCCACACAAAATCCTCCCCTCTGCCTGTGATACAATTACCTTACACAATGGGTAATGTAATTATCACCGGCAGAGAAATACAGTTTTTCAACATTATTCATAACTTTAAAAGTATGCATCACATTCACATAAAACTTACATTTTCAGAATCAGCATACTCCAAATACAAACATATGTCAAAATCATACAAATTGGTCCAGTGGTTCAAAAGATAGATCGTAGTCCTTTGTGACCAAAGGAAGCATGGCTTTTCTACCCAAAACCAGTTCCACAGAGTCTTCTATCCTGGAGATAATTGGGAAGTAATCCAATTATCTCCAAGGACAGAGGCAAAACTCCATTGAACACATGGCAGCAAAAGACAATAAAACACATAAAAACATATAACTGTGCAGCCATTGCACAAAACAGGTACATTCAACATATCCCAGATAGCTCAGATCTGAGCGCACATTATTACTGAATGGCGCTCAGAGCACACACATACAGTTCAATTGCCATGGAGCCAAAGTCTTTCCCATAGTCTTTCATTATACGAATGGGCTCCATGGCATAGCTATCTGGGGTATCACCGCTCAAACAGGACAAGCACCGAATGACCCGGCTTTCGTGTCTTCGCAGGGGAAAATCAAGCGTTTCAACATGGGGCCATAGTCTAAAGGCATCAGACGGGCAACCAAGCTCCTCTAATGCACAGTGGCGAGATTGGTCTCGTCACAATTACGCAAACAACGATTCCATCTGCCCTGCTAGTCTGGCTCTCCCTTAGGATTTTAAATCACTAGAACCCTCAGTACTAGAACCAGTATGGTCTAGTGGTTATGCTGCCAATAGCCTATAGGTGCTATGCCAGCCAGTGTTCACAATCTAGATGTTAACACCCAAATTGCATAATTATGGCCAAAAGATGAGTTGAAAAGATACATATGATAAGCCTGTACTTAACTGCACTGCTTCCCAAGTAAACCAGCTTTATTTAAAAAAGAAAAAAAATCAACTTTAAATGATGCAAGTGACATTTCTTCTGATAGTGGTAAAAATCGCCTAAACTAATATCAATAAAATTACAAAGAGCACAAGCATATCAAAGGGATGATGTCTTTAGCTTTCACGTTTTATGCAAAATCATAGTTTCTTTCACTGTGGTTTTAACGCAACAAATCCTCCCTCAGGTATTAGGAGTCCGAAGGCCTTCTCACAAAGACCATGTGTGAGTAAAGCCACAGTATGTGTTCCGTGTGATTTTCTGTTGAAATTCTTTTTGTTATTATAAAGAAATATAAAGCCATATAAATCCCTATGCATGAAGAACATGCTTTGCAATAATAGACCAGACAATAAAATATTTGTCAGCCCTATACAAGTGATTTTATTTGCTTTCACTTTTGATCTACATGTATCAATGATATATGGGGAATTCCTGAAGCAGATATCTGATTGGTGGAATTATCAGACTAAAGAAAATCCTTTAACAGGAAAGCAGGACATTTCGTTTAATATCAAGAGCATTTAAGCCTTTTTTTAAGGAGAGAATACAAGGGAATGGGGAAATACGATATTACCAACGCTAAGATAATCAGCTGTAGCTATATATAGAAAATTCTTTAATTCAGCTATTGCTTCCAGTACGGCTACTTTGACCTTAAATTTTAAATTCACTTCGAATTCTCAGGTTAGTGAATGAGCCTGTAAGTCCTAACTAGTTGCCACCTGCACTGTACACCGAAAGAGTGCATTTACCACCAAATATCAATGTAAAATGTCATTCTGAGCAGTTCTAGTAAATGTTTCGTTTTTTGATGTTCTGTACTTTTCAGACATTTAAGTCTAAATGGATTTAATAGGTAAGGAATTATGATCAGGTTGTGCTTAAATGGAAAAGATATGTTTAAATAAATAATTAAACCATAATTGCATTTGATTTTGTATATCGCATGTTCTCCTTTTTTTGGCACTTGGCACAACAGGAAGTTTTGATATGTAGCCATGATATCAACAGAGGTTTTTGTTTAGGTGCAACTGCGCCAGACAAATGATTATGATCATTTTTTTTAGTGAAATACATTTATTATATTGCTTCTCTCTGTAATACCAAGATACCAGTCATTTTTCTTATCTGATAATAGATCATTGTTTTAATAGTAATTTCTTCTGTTAATTGCTTAGCTTCATTGAAGGCCTATTTTTCTATCTTTAAACAACAGCAGAACCTGAGCAGAATATAAACAATTTATACAATTATACAGTACATCACCTGATGTATACAGCAAAGTCAGGTAATTTACTGGGAGAATTGCATGGAATTATATATAATCTATATCTACAGTAAGATGAACAAACCCTCACAATAATATTAGGAATATCATGTATTCCATTTCAGCATGTACATCGCTATACATAAATTTACTAAATTGCCTCGGATAGTGAGCCAAAAAGATAGCAAACAGAAATCAGGCCCCATGCTGAAGATAAATATACCGTAATCTCAATTTGAAAAATACCAACTAAAATACAAATGACTTTAAAGAATAATGATATATATGAAAATATGTTGAATTGGCAGCATAAGCAGATAACTGTCAAGAGAAATATAAACTCAGTAATGTAGCATCGAGTCTGATACTGTCTATTTTCTATGTAAATATGGCCTAAAGCACATGGATAGGGTGATGAGACATGGCTTATCTATGTGATATAGGGCCTATGAGTTTAAAATGTGGAGCTATGTCTTCAACCTTTCAAGGGTGTCTCTAAATACAAAACAACTAGCGGGCAATGTTAGAAGGCAACTAGAGCCACCATTTGTAAGTGATTTAAATCAAACCTAGGGTCCCACAGGCACTGATGACCCAAACCTTTCCTCTTCATATTGCTACATAAGCAATACAAATTTAGATGTCATTGATTGGCTGAACCTGTGTCAAGGACAAGTACAAAACTCCGCTACGCAAAGCATTATCTCAGTAATAAAACTCCTTACATGGTCTTAGAGGATAGACTTCACAATATATAGACAGGTAGAATAGTTAGGACTAGCCAGAGTCAAGGGAAACCAGAATTCAGATAGATGGTAAGAGGGAAACCATAATACACTATAGTCAAGTGGAAAGCCGGGTAAGTAACAGTAATTCAAAAAAGTATAAAGGCATTACTGGGTCAAAGAGAAAGCAAGTTAGGCACTGTTTTATGGGCTGGGGGTGTAATTGCCATGACCACACCCCCAAAATGTCATGAGAGGGTGGCTAGGTCTAATTCTGTTATTTGTGACAGCATAACGCCAGGAGCATGCACAGCAGCCAGCGTCAGTGTTGCCATATGAGATTTCAGGAATCGGCATTCCCACCGACCAGCGGACCAGTAAATAAACTGCAGAACAAGAACTTGTCAGATAATGCTCTCAGCCAATCAAATTGCCTCCCACACACAAATGGCACAGATGCACCTGTTATAGTAATATTTAAAAAAAAAAATGATATGTAGGACAGAGATTACGTTTTAACCACTTATCATCAGCATCATCCATGGTGCTCTTGGGCAACTCAGCTTACTAGTAGTACGTACACTGTATCTGGTTTTCTCCTGCAGGACAAGCTAGATGTCTCCACAGGAAAAAAACACAGCAAATCAGGTCCATGTTCGTTGGCTGAGAGCATGGCCCTGCTTAGCTAACGGATTTATCCTAAAGGAGAAGCAGAGGATACAATCATAGGTGACTGCAGACCCATGTAAGTTGTCAGATCTTACTAAGATGATTTTAAAATGATTTTACTACTTATGACATCAGGGCACTTCTGGCACCATAATCACTACAGCATTCCTTAGTGGTTATGGACCTTAGCGTTTTACTTTAAATTAGGATTATACTCTAGTATGGATAAGTAGACAATCATTTAATTTAATTTACTTTAGCATTACCTCAATTTTTGTTGGGGTTTATCAAAATAGCAGTCCAAAATCTTCCCATGTCAATGGAACACGCATTGTTTGAGTGTATCTGCTCTTGGCCAGTGAGCAGTTTTCTATCACAAACACATTTAGCAATATGCTCCGGTTTTGTTTTTTTTTGTAAATCTTTTTTTACAAAACATATAAAAAGGTGTTGTGGCAAATTTTCATATGACAGGTGACCAGTGAGTTGTATGAACAGCTACGCTAACTACTAGAGATATCAGCCTCATATTTTTTTAAATAAATGGAAAATAATAACAAGAAACAAGTCAGGCGATGCTCCGCTTTTTTGTATCTGCCACAGCATTTACCCTTTTTAATGAATGAACTTAAGCATTACATTTTGTCTATGTTATATTTATGTGCGTCTACATTCTATACAGGTAAACCTAACATGACCAATGCATGTCAGAAATATCACATAATGAGCTGATTAAAACCCCTTTCTGGGCAATGATATCCTACACAATTTAAAAAAAAAAAAAAGTGATTACCTTCTACCGGACCATTGCAATGGATGGACACTATCATGATAATAAAGGATTTCCCTGGTCAGAAGGGGTTAAAACACATTTCATGCAATGATATCCCACACAAAATAGGCTTATTTCTATCTTGTGATGATAATACTAGTCCCATTATACTTGCTGTGATCTGCTATAAAGTGAAATTGTTGCTCCTAGCAGATCTTGCTAGATAATTGCATTAAGGTACACAAGAAAATTGTAACTGCACAGATCAAAAGACTGCTGTAATAAGATAAGGCATTACCCCTAACTTGTATTCTGGATGTAATTCCCCTTTAGTGCGGCTGATTTAAAGAACAATGTTGTGACTTTTTTTTTTATTATTATTACTTCCAGCATTTTAATATCATGTAAATAAAAGGTACTATCATAGTAATTTTGTATAATATGTCGTGTTTGGGTTTTTTTCTTGTGAGACATTATAGAGCAATTTTATTGTTATGGATTTTCTTATTCAAAACGCGCCATCTCGTGGTTATCTGCGTAAACTGCAATACACTTAGATCATGTCCTGCTTTGTGCATGATATTCAGTATGAAATTAACAGACACCAAGCGGATCACAGAAAATGGGATAATAGCAGCAAATCAAGGTCTTGGTTTCTTCTAACAACAGCACCTGGCACACAACTGATATCCAAATGCAGTCATGCATAGACATCATTGCAATTTGCAGAGCCAGTGATTGCTCTTTTCTTGCTTCAATACCTTAGCCTCTCTCAGATATGTCTGGCTTGTTTGTGTTCCATCCAGGTGCTGATTTATTTTTCAGCTTCGATGAATGGTAATTACCATACCGTACAAAGCATTTACAGATTGGGGCTGCTCTGAGTAACCTTCCCAAGCTCAACAAGGAGCCTTCAATGTCCCTGAGCTACAGGTGACACACAGAGTGTGAGATGACTGCACTCTGCCCTGTTTGATATATAGAGATACCGCATCCTGTCTGGGACTCGTGCTATATAATGCTTTATGTGTGTATAGTATGATTGTTTGCTCTAATAATGTGTAATAATGTATATATTGTGTAATAATAATAATAATATGTAACGGTGTGTATATTGTGTGTGTGACTATATGTTAAATAATATTTATTTCATTATTATGTTATTGCTTTTAACAATATAATAAGCAATGTATTTTATCTGCATGTATTCTGTATGTACTCTTATTGTGTGTGTTCTCATTACTGTGCATATTGTGCCTTTGTCTGCATGTGCATAATGTTTGTGTGTATGTCTGTGACACACGTGTGTGGGTGTTTGCGCGGTGTGTATGTGTGTGATGATGTGGTGTGTGTGTGTGTGTTCTGCCACTGTTAACCTTGATACACAATATTCCATAGCACGCTCTGCCTTCTCTCATTATACAGATTGCAATGCATTGATTCCCCTTACAGACCCACTGGTGCTTTGTTAGTGTTCAGAGTGTCTGTCTAAGAGAGCCGTACCCAGGCAGTGTATAGTAAATGTGCTGCTATCCCAGTAAGGCACATAATGCTCCATGGCAGGATTTATAGGCTGACTGATCAGTGATTCAATGCTCTCAGACACTGATTTCATGTGTCACACGTAAAGCAATGACAACACAGCTATGGAAAGGATCCATTCGGTCCATCCTGAAGGACGCCCTTGGAGTTTGAACAGAATAATTGTGAGACATAAATTACTAACACGGGATGGAAGTGGGGACACAGAGAGATAAAACATAAAGCTAATGCCCTTGGATGCTTATGAGGAATACATGAACAGGATGAAGTGCAGCGTCCCCCCCTCTCTGTTCCTATGGTTATATTTGGGTTTTACTGCTTATAATAAAAATACTATCTCAGCATACCGTGCACGGAGCCCTTTAATTAAATCATTATTTTTTAACTGTTACATTAACTCTAAAATCACCCCTTAGAGAATCTCCCTCCTCCCCCCCTTTCAAGGCAGGAAGATCTATTTCCACTACCTTGGAGAGGAGGGAGGCTGGAGAAGGGTGCTTTCCTAGATTATATCTGCCAGTCTAACTGTTGTGCACTACAACTCCCAGCACACTTAGCCAACCTACCCCTGGCTCAGCGTAGTGGGATTTGACGTTGTAAAAAAAAACGTTAAAAAAAAAAAATATATATATATATATATATTAATTGCCAGTTCTGTGTCTGCCAACGTGAGGCATGCTGAAAAAAGCAAAACCCCATCAATGAGTGTAGGAAATCAGCCTATTGCTCAGCTCTACAGCCGGCACTGAAAGGGTTCACATGTTCCAATTTCTACTGAAAATTTCTATCAGGCACGGTGGATTGCAACAGCTGCTAGATGTGGATTAGAAGCTCCATTCTAGGAGAAAACTCATTTCATTTTTTTCTTTTTCTATCTTTTTATTATTACTTTTTTTTTTTACCTCGTTGACTGCATTGTTCACAGCACTTTGGTTCTGTCCACCTCTCCCAGGGGCCCCTTTTTCTGGGATTTTTTCATTATTTTGTGTGGTGGAGTTATAGGGTTTGAGAAACATGAAGTCACTCTTAGCTGATTCTGGAGTCAGGCAGACTTTGTAACAATAGTTTTGAGGACCATTCCCTGAGGATTCCATACAATTCGTCTGAACTTTATTCCCAGATGAAATCTGTAGGTTGATATTTGAGTTTTTAAAGACCCCTCCAGGGGCTCCAGCTCTTAAACAGCAACAAGTAGGCATGGAACACTTGTAATCCTGTAGGGACAGCCTGTCTTTGTGACATTTAATGGCTGTAAGGACAATTATAGCCACCAGGAATGTAAAGGACACAGAGCCAAGGGACACTATTAAATAGAGAGTTAGAGATGAGGTGGCAGCAGGGTCTGAATTTAAAGGCACATCATTTAATTCAGACAGGGTCTCTGGGAGGCTGTCCACCACAGTCAGAACTATGGAGACAGAAGTGGATAATGAGGGTTGCCCATTATCTTTTACTTGAATCAGGAGTTTGTGTCTGATTGCATCTTTGTCTGACAAAGCACGAATGGTCCTTAGCTCTCCGGTGTACAGGGCAACGCTAAAAAGGCTAGCATCAGAAGCCTGAATTATCTGATAGGAGAGGCGAGAGTTTTGGCCAGAATCTGCATCCATGGCTGAGATCTTGCCCACCAAGTACCCAGGGTCAGCAGACCTAGGAATGACATCAGTGGCCACCGAACCATTCTTTGGCAAAGGGTACACGATAATTGGGACATTGTCATTCTGATCAAGAATAAAGACGTTGACCGTAACGTTGCTGCTCAAGGGAGGGAAGCCAGCATCTTGAGCTTGGACCCTGATCTGAAAGTTCCTGATTTGCTCGTAGTCAAAAGAGCGCAGGGCATAGATATTGCCACTGTCCGAGTTAATGGAGACATAGGTAGACACTGGCATGCCCTGAATCTGACCATCCATGATTGAGTAGGACAGGTAGGCATTCTGGTTGCAGTCAGGGTCCAGGGCAGTGACAGAGCAGATAGATGCCCCAGGAGGGTTGTTCTCCATCACGTACACCGTATAGGAGGGGTGGAGGAAGGTGGGTATGTTATCATTAATATCAGTGACTTGGACAGAGATGACCTTTCTGGTCATGAGTGGTGGAGACCCAAAATCCCTGGCACTGATGGTAATATTGTATTCAGACACCACCTCCCGGTCCAGGACCTCGGTAGTGACCAGAGTGTAGTAGTTTTTGTAGGAAGAGTGCAGTTGGAAGGGGACGTTTTTGGGGATCTCGCAGTTGACATCCCCGTTGTCCCCGGAGTCTCGGTCCATAACGCTGATCACGGCGATGACCGTGCCGGGTGGAGCGTCTTCCATGACTGGGGTGGACACCGAGGTGAGGATGACTTCAGGAGCATTGTCATTAACATCCAGAAGGTTGACCAGGACCCTGCAGTGCACGGCCACCGCCGAGGGCCCCCTGTCCTTAGCCTGGACATAGAGCTCATACAGGTTGGACTTCTCGTAGTCCAGAACCCCCTTTACCCTCACCTGGCCAGTACGAGGTTCCACCATGAAGAGGTCCCTCACCTTCTGGGGGGCATGTCCGCTGAACGAATACTCTATCTCTCCGTTTGTGCCCTCATCCAGGTCGGTAGCGTTGAGTTTTATCACCAGAGTGCCTTTGGGGACATTTTCCGGCAGACTCACTCGGTAGAAGGACTGGTCGAAGGTGGGAACGTTGTCATTAGCATCCAAAACGCTGATGGTGACCAGAGCAGTCCCTGACCTCTCAGGGATGCCACCATCCATGGCAGTGAGGAGCACCCGATGGGTCTTCTGCTGCTCCCGGTCCAGGGGTCTCTCCAGAACCAGCTCTGCGAATTTGCTGCCGTCGCTCCGGCTCTGGACCTCCAGGGAGAAGAACCCGTTAGGACTTAGCTTGTAGGTCCGCAGCGAGTTGGCCCCAACATCGGGGTCCTGGGCACTTTCGAGCGGGAAGCGGGCACCGGGCGCCGCCGACTCGGTCACCTCAAGCACATAGTCATGCCAGGGGAAGCTGGGCGCGTTGTCGTTAATGTCCAGGATCTCCACCTCCACCCGGTACAGCTCCAGGGGGTTCTCCATCACCACCTGCAAGTGGAGGGTGCACACCGGCTGGAACTCACAAACTTCTTCCCGGTCTATCTTTTCATTGACGAACAGGATCCCGTTCTCCAGGTTGACCTCCAGATGCTGCTTGTTGGTCCCGGACACGATTCTGAAGCGCCTTGGGGACAGCTTGGAGATGTCCAGACCCAGGTCCTCAGCGATGTTCCCCACAAACGCGCCGTGATCCAGCTCTTCCGGGACCGAGTATCGGATCTGGCTGGAGGCTGGGACCAGGCAACAAGTTAGGAGAGCAGGGAGGACCTGCCTGAGCCATGGACCTCTTCCCATCCTCCAGAGCTCCTCTGCCGCCGCTGGAGATAAGGATGTGTTCTGGAGCTCAGTGAGCAATGGTAAGACCTAATGAAACTCAACAAATCCTCAGGCAAAATGCTGCTCTAGCTACTGTGCTTTCTCACCGGGGGACCTGGACCCACTGAAGATCTGCTAATGCAAAGTGATGGCAGAAAATGGGAAGCTCTTTACTAAATGTGAAGATCGTGATGCCTAGACTTGTATGTCTCCAATATACTTTCAACTCCACCACCCATCTCCCCAAACAACACCCCCCACCTCCACCTCCCAACTATTTTAATTTTAGAAGAGTCTGGGCTGGTGGGGGTGACTTGTTGGAGTGGGGAGGGGGGGTGAGGAGGGACCCAAATCCACGTTCCAGCTTTTGTATTGGTGGACAGGGACACGGAGCATAAGAGCTGCATTTACAGCTGTTATCGGTAACCCTTTACACGGCAGCAGCTGCGAAAGATGCTCAGGTGACAAAAGACAGGGGGGCAACCAATCGGCGCTTAAATGGTTAATGTCGGGGGAGGGGGCGGCAGAGGAAGATTTACTCCTGTTTACTCTTTGGAAACTAAAGAGCTGATTATAATACATTCTAAATAGAAGTGAAGTGGAATATGAATTGGTGGAATGTTTACATTCAGCAAAACAGCAATGTGAGTACATACACAGAGACAGACAGACAGACAAAGGCCAATAGATGCACGGACAGACGGATAATATCTAAAACGTCAAGTAATGCACATTAACCATGTGAGTGCCAAGTGCAATGTTTTGTTCCTCCCCAGGTAGTTCCAATGCAAAGCTAATTACACTCGACCAGCTGTTTAATTTCTGAAGTTTAAGAAACACGAGATACATCTACAATTAAAGCAGGCTATCTACCTAGCTAGCGATCTGATTTACCCATTGGAATATAGTGCATGCTTTATTGACTATCTAATCTATATGGGGTGCCTGTAATAATATAGAATTAGAATAAACACTGGCTGACCCAACAGGCAGAAAGTCTTATCTGTGAATACTGTAATGCAATAATGTCATTGGCTGCTATTTACTCTATGTAAATTGCCCTGTGAGCCTCCAGAAGTTTATCCTGCTCTGCCTGATATAGTCCTGTATCCCAGGAATATCTGCCTGCAGATGTTCCCTTCATCATTGCCGTAGATTAAAGGGTCCAAATACTACACCCACAGCCAAATCCTGCATATAAATAGTCTGACATCAGTATCCATGCATAGACTTAACCTTTAGCAGATGGTTAAGCTTCTGTAGAATTGATTACATTTTGATGCACACCGTTTTCCTTGTTAATACTGATTTTTTAATTATATCCCAGGATTACAACCCAGGCAGCCGGATAAACGTTAATACCATAGCAATACTGATAAAGGCTTCCATCAGCCTCCTAACATTCACAATGTGTATCCACATAGGCATCACATTTTATTGGATGGCTCTGTCGCCAATCCATGCCACTTGGGCACATTGGACATATCTATGGAGACAAACCGCCAATGGGAAAATATCCACAAAGCCCACTTAACTAATGAAACTTCTCTTTGTTAATTTGAAGGTCTGCTGAATGAAAAGGTTAAACATGTTGGTTTCGTGTTTGCCCCCAATCTTTTTTTTTGTTTTTTTTAGTTTCTCCATCATTTTCAACCCTGAATGTCCAATGGTTTACGAATGAGTTGTAACAGCTGATGACTGAAAAATGTAATGGTTAACAAAATATTTTTTGTGATTAGTTTGTAAAGGTGAGGGGTTCTAGAAAGTGTTAAATTATCCACATACACCTTTATATTGTAATGTAATGTACAAGAACAAATCATTATTTCATTGATTTGAAGTGGTCATGGTGCCTTGTAGACTGAATGTGCAGTGTTTTGCTTTGAACCAGTGCACATACAGAGATTAACCTTCCTGCAGACAGAGGTATTACTCCAGTGTCATGAGGTGTCATCAGCCAGCCCTGATTTCCAGACTGGTTAATGTCAATTCTGTGCAACTTTCATTGCACATAATTACAGTCAATGGCTGAGAGCATCATGACTACTACATTGGATATTAGTGTTTGTTATGCTTGGAGTAACTCTTTAAATAGGATCTGTCACATCTCTAGAAATTATGACATTGAATAAAACTTTGAAAATCATTATAACTTAAAGGGACACTCCACTGCCCAAATACAAAAGCAATTAGAAAAAACACTTTATAATAGATATACTCTAAGTGAAAACTTGCATGTGTTTAATTATACATTTTTTTTCATTGGAGTTATTTCTAAGAACAGCTTGCAAAACTGCAGATCCCATTCTAAACTTGCCCATACTTTCTGTGGCTGTCCAATCACAGACTTCCCAATGCAGTTCGATGAGAATTCTTTGCAAGGCAGGTTCACTGGGCAATTGCTGCCTCTGGAGTTTAGGGCAAATAAGCTAACCAAACCAGTAGGCAACAATACTGGGTGTATCCAGTATAATTTATAGAAGTGTCAATTTCTATTGAAATCTGTACTATTTCCCAAATGAAAATAAAGGACATACACTTTACACATAAAGGGTTTGGAGTGACCCTTTAAAGGAAACGTTTCCACTCTATAACAACTTCACCTTAATGATGCTTAACCCTGAAGTTGTTCTTCCAATACCAGTCACCATTGCCTTCCTCAGCCCTCCTCCGGCTGCCACAATGATGAAGGTTTTTGATTTAGTGGTTGATAATAGGCTCAGAATGTCAACTGATGCTTTCAGCCTACCACAACATCCAGTGCAAATCTTCATTGTAGCAGCCAGATGAGGAATAGGGGAGGCAGAAGTGAAAACGTTCGAGCATCTGGGGGAACAACCTCAGGGCTAAACCATTTGGTAACCATATGGTAACAGATGAGATAAAGGTGTTTTGGGAGCTGTAATCATTGTTGCTTTAACCCTTTTTATGTGATGCCCTGTTTTCTTTTAAAATGTACACTAAAGATTGAGCAAATCGCACCACAATTCAGTTTAACCAAGGCACAGCCAGGGCACCCAGGGGCAGACTGAGAACTCACAGGGCCCTCTGGCAATGGGAGACCAAGGGCCCCCTTCTTGTGCAAAGGTTTTTGGCTACTGCTACTTTTCTCCCTTTTCTTTGTGTTGCTTTCACACAGATATTATATGTATGCAGCCCAGCACCCATAATGGCTGAGTGAGAACAACACAGTCATGACTCCCACCAGCAAGGCCTCCAAACAGTCAGATTTGTATTTAAGAGGTTAATCCAACCAAAAACAGTGTTTTAATATAACATCGATTTTGAATGAAGTAACCCTTACTGGCATGCCTCAATTCCACCTCCCCCCCCCCCTACATCCCAACTAAAATAAAGCAAATTTAATTACACATTTCCTCTGTGTTTGCTGGTGACATCACACGCAGCATCCTCCACATTTGTTTTCAGTCATATAAGTCCATACAAGTAGCCTCCAAACACATGTTTGTAGGCTACTTGTGCGGTTCAGTGTGTGGGATGCTGCTTGTGATGTTGTGTTTGTGTATGTCTGTTTGTCTTCTTTTACCTATTGTAGAATATATTGATACTATATAGATTATTGTAATAATTACGTGTATGTGTGTGTGTTTGTAAGGAGGCTGTATGTAGTATTGCAATGGTGGGGATGCTGCTTGTGATAAGTGTCCGTAGGGAGGCTGCATGTGGTTTACCATGTGTTAGGGTTGCTGCTTGTGGGATTGTGTGCATACAGTGAGGCTCCTGTATGCTGAGGTGGGTGCTGGGTGAGATGGGGGCTCAAGGTTGAAATAGGGGCTGAGGTTGGTACTGGGTGAGATGGGGGCTCAAGGTTGGAATAGGGGCTAAGGTGGGTGCCATGTAAGATAGGGGCTCAAGGTTGGAATAGGGGCTGAGGTTGGTGGTGGGAAGATACAAGCTCAGGGTGGGATAGGGGCTGAGGTGGGTGCTAGGGGAGATAGGGGTTCAGGATGGGATAGGGGATGAGGTGAGATGGGGGCTCAGGGTGGGATAGGGACTGAAGTGGGTGCTTGGGGAGATAGGGGCTCAGGGTGGGGTAGGGCCTCAGGTCGGTGAGATGGGGCCTTAGGGTGGGATAGGGGCTGAGGTGGGTGATGTGTGAGATGGCTCAAGGTTGGAAAAGGGGCTGACGTGAGCAAAGGAGGATGGATGCTGAGGTGGAGGGGGGCATGGGGGATATACATTCTGTCAGGCTGCTCACTGTAGATTCAGCAGGAGAGGAGGGGGCAGGAAGTGATGTCACTTCCCCTCGCTGGGCCCCGCCTCCTCCCCTCAAACAGAGCTCCGCACAGAGAGAATGGAGGTGACCTGGCAAGAGCAGGACTGCTGCCAGGTCTCACTCTGCAGGTGAGGGGACCATTCAGGGGCAACCTTTAATTTGTAATATTGCCTCTCTGACTGGGGAGATCTCTGATCGGATCTCCCCAGCCAGAGAGAGTAAATGGCTGTCCATGACCGATCTGCCCGAGTGGTCAGTCCGCCCCTGAGGGCACCCAATGTGAATGAAGAGCAGAGATGGATTAAAGGGACACTATAGTCACCAGAACAACTAAAGCTTATTGTATTTGTTTTGGTGAGTAGAATCATCCCCTTTTCATAGAAAATGCAGTGTTTACATTACAGCACAGTGATAACCCCACTGGCCACTTCTAAGAAGGCTACTAGCGGTACTTCCAATGTGCAGTACTACAATTCAGTGTCTCCACCCTCTGTGCATGCAGACACTGAACTTTCTTCATAGAGATGCATTGATTCAATGTATCTCTATGAAGAGATGCTGATTGGCCAGGGATGTGATTGGCTTGTGCTGGCTCTGCCCCTGATTTGTCTCCTTAACAGTCTCCGCCTATCCTATGGGAAAGTAATGTGATTGGTTCAGAGAATCACTTTTGATGATGTCAGCCAAGCAGGCAGATCAGGGGCAGAGGCAGCAGCTGCAGACTTGAATACAAGTAAGATTTTACTATATTTAGAGATGCAAAGGGGCCAGCATCAGGAATGCATGTTTGTGTATCATATTCCTTTAAGACCTCAGAGGGCCCTAGTCACATTACCCCTTTACTCTTCACATAAGGATGATGAATGAGGCTAAGCAAAATCACGGTTTTGGGCCATCTATAACCCATACACCCTAGGCCGCTGCCTAAGCTTGTCCTGAGATTAATCCTGAGAGCAGGAGAAACATTGTC